AATATTAATTAGTAATAAAGATAAAATAGGTGGTTATTAATATTAATAGATTTTTTGGGTTTTGGGGGGGGGTCAAAGAGTAAATGTTATGAGTTGTTTTCTCATGTGTATAGCAATTAGTGTTTAAAATAAAATGGATTGGCATCAATTATAGATTTAGAGCCTCAAATCCGAACACTTTGAAGTTGACACTTGCTGACGCCCAGTTAGGTTTTAAAAGTGCTAATGACATGTTTCTTTGATTAATATATAACATCCAACCTTTTTTTTGTTTGTTATGTTATGGATTCGTGTGGCTCTCCTTAATCGTAAAAGATTATATGCTAATCCTTTCATGTTTTCCTATAACTCACAGTCCCCTAATCCACAAACACAAACCAAAAGATAAGTTTAATTGGTGATAAGATTAAATATGTTGGTTTGTAATCATAATATATAATGGTTAATCATATAATACAAATATGAAAAGCAGAAGTACGAGGCCTTTAATTTTATTTTATGAATATGGACGGATAGAGACGTATTATAAAATACTACAACTCTTCTTATGGTTACAAAATATGAGAAAGCAACTCTACTAGGATTATAAAACATTCTTCTTATCCACACCTTTAGTCATTAATTATAATATAATCCTGCAACAATTATATGATCTAATTCTAATCAATGTGTCTTCAGAAAAATTATTCCTGAATATTATTCGGTCGGGTCGATACGTATACGACGCAATATATATACATTACAAAATGGCTTACGTAATCTTAATAAGATAGGTTTAACAAGTGATTAATTAATTAATGTCGGATGGTAAAGAGTGAGTGGATCACTACCTTAGTTTGATTGCTTAATACTTTGTTTGTGGAGAATAATGTTGAGTTTGGATCAATAACACTAAACCAATAGCATATAATTAACAGAGATAGGATTACAAACCTTAAATATATATAAATAACTAGCTGTTGGCGCGCAAGTTTTATAGATTTATTTTATTTTTTATTATTGTTTTTTTCTGTTTTAACATTATTTTAGTTTTTACTATTGTAATTTTTGTTATTCCTTTTTTATATGAATTGTTTTTTTTTAAAAATTTTTTGTATTAGTTTAGTATTTGAAATGTTTATTGTTATTTGCTATTCGTCAGAGGTCGATGGTAAGTTTCTATGATATTTCTCTTTTTTGCTAGATATGAGATTAGAGAGAGAAGGTTTCTTGTGTCTGGTTTTGATCTATTCTATGATAGATGTTCTAAGATCTGGTTTGTTTTTAGTTTTTTTCCTATACTCATATTTGTTTACTCCGGCCAATGGTTTCAAAATCGGTGTCATATGCAAAGAGTTGCTCTTGTAAACAACGGTTCTAATAGATGTATTCCCTATTCTGTTTAACTATCCAGTTCCAAATTTATGTATCCGACTTTTTCCGATTTTTCTTAACCGGTTTGATTGTTGTGTAACCTTTGGGCCTCAAGTCCATGCCCTTTTGAGTTTATTAATAATTTTTTTGAAAAAAAATTGATGATGTAGCCGATTATGTGGCGGAAGGAGAAGAGAGAAAATATAACTTTATATATATAGATTAATAGAGATAACGAAAGAATAAATTAGTAATAAATAAAAAATTTGTAAGACTTTGTAAAGTGGTGACTGGTGAAAGTGCATCAAAAATATAAAAGTGTTCTTCACACAACTCTTCTTTAAGATCTTTAAATGATCATGTAGTTGAAGCTTAGAATAGGTGAAAGCATCACACTTTAATTGTTAGTGCAGTTGGAATTTTCTTGCTACAGGAATGATCCAATGAAGCAATGCTCCAAAGTGACTCCTTATTGTGATTTTATGGCACATCAAAGTTACAATCCCATCTTTTATCGATTCTTTTCATTTGGTAAACTTTGTAAGAATATATTCTGATTTCTTGCATCATATCAACAAATTTGTTAATAACCTTGAGCTTTAATTTTTTTTTAAATGAAAAAAAATCTTTATAGAATTTACGAGGGATGTCAATTTTTGTAAAGCTGAAATGAATTTTTGTCGTTGTCTAATGTGTTCCTACTAATTACGTGATTCTTTTGCTCATTTTCTTATATTTTTCAGATAATCATATCTTCCTATAAATAGAAACTTATATGTAGTTCTAGTGATTTTAGGCTGTTTAAAGTTGTGGAGCCTGATTGTTTGTTGGTGTGTGGAGTGGCAATTGTTTTTCTAATTTTAGTCTAATTTAAATTAACGGTATCTAAAACAAAATCTGAGACTTAATAACAATAAACTCCAGTTTTATATAATAAAATGTATAAAAAATTGTATGTAAAATATTTATTTTTATTTTTCTGAACACAAGATGTGAAATCTCACGTAAACTTTAATACCATAAATTAAACGAGAAAAGAAGAAGAAAAGAGGAAAAAATTGAAATATATATTTGTCTCAATATAATACTAGACGAAAAACATGTTATCATGTTGACCCAAAAAGTAATGTTATCTTTCGATAGCATATTAATTATAGTATTTTATTCATCTATATACTAATTACTGTGTTAACAAGAGATGGCACTAATCATTCTAATTCGACATTTTTGTACTTATTTCTTCATTTTGATGATTATACTAATTATGGAGTGATCGATTAACGAGTATAGAAATAAAGCATGTAAAGAAATGGTTATGTCTATAGAAGAATTAGTACTTTGTGTATTGGCCACGAGGGGGGTCACTAGAAAATGTTTGGGCGACCCACTAATTACAAAAATTTCAAGACTCAATTATCAAATTAGCCACTAAACTCCAATTCACAGGACACAATATTATCATATAATGTCAAGGAGAATGTATGTGTCTGAAAATTTTGAAATTGAAGAAAGAATAGGTAAAACAAAAGCATCTGAATAATTATTTTCCTTATATAGATATTTCCCAAAGTGATAGATTTGACGTATGTTGTATCAGCCACAGAATCGAATGTGTCATTGATGGTCAGATACATCTTTCTAAAAAAAAAAAAAAAAAAGCTATAGATCTCTGCGTACATTTCATCCTACGGTCAAGTCACCATGCATGAATTAGCTAATAACAAAATTTTTAACTTTAAAAACTTGTATTCCATTATTTAGTTCCAATTTTATAGAAATGGAGATTATTAGTATTAATTTTTTTAAGAAATCGTAAAAGTAATAAAATCAAGTTCCGTCAATAAATTGTGAAATTACGTCAAATACGTCATGATGATTATGATCTTTCACTCTTCCACCACTATAACTTACGAATTATAGTATTTTTTTTTCTTCTTATTATATGCTCTAGATGAACATATTATATAATCCACAAGACCCACTTCTAAATTATTCACTTCACTTTTTCTAACATTATAAAACCCTTCTCTTCCCCACTTCTTCTTACTTCAAACTAAACTTCCCAACTCTTCACACAATAAAATCATACAAACTCTTATAACATACTCATATAAACCAAACTATAAAACCATCTTTTACCAAAGAAAAAAAAACTATCAAACCATGATTCCGGCGGAAATCACCGGATATTTCCAATATCTATCGCCGGAATACAACGTAATAAACATGCCTACATCTCCAACCTCTTCCTTAAACTACCTAAACGATATGATCATCAATAACAACAACAGCAACTATTCCTCATCATCCAACAGTCAAGAACTCATGATAAGCAACAACAACTCAGCTTCAGACGAAGATCATCACCAAAGCATCATTATACTCGACGAGAGGAAACAGAGAAGGATGCTTTCAAACAGAGAATCCGCAAGGAGGTCGAGGATGAGGAAACAGAGACATCTTGACGAACTCTGGTCTCAGGTGATAAGGCTTCGCAACGAGAACAACTGTCTTATTGATAAGTTGAACCGTGTGTCGGAGACTCAAGATTGTGTGTTGAAAGAGAACTCCAAACTCAAAGAAGAAGCTTCTGATCTCCGACAGCTTGTTTGTGAACTGAAATCTAACAAGAACAACAACAACAGTTTTGCAAGAGAGTTTGAAGATAACTAGTATACATGTCTATGTCTCATCGGAGTGTCAGATATTTTGAGTTTGTGTCATTCTCTGTATCAAATCATGAAAAAGATCGAGGGTGTTTTGGGGTTTGGTTGTTTCTCGAATATATTATATATGTATTGAAGTTAAATAATCTAACTTAGTTCTTGAACATATTCATGTTCTCTAATCTCTTATATATAATCTGATTGGTATAAATTACACAATTATGCAGAATCCGAATATATTTATTGATCCATTTTGCAAATTCATTTAGATTTATGTCATTTATATCATAATTTATGTGACTTTTTCGTTGAATCTATATTAATCTTACTTAAAACCCTATTAGAATAAAAATTAAATATATGAAGTGTATATATATATTATGACAATAGAACTTCGAACACGTAAGAGCTTTTTAGAACATAAAGAGACGAATATATATATATATATAATGAAACACAACAAATAGTGATCATTATGTGTATAGTAGTTTGCATAATATTACCATCATGATAAAATAGTATTATAGAATATAATGTAAGTTTATGATGACGACCTCTCTATTAACACAATTTTTGTTAGTTTCTGTTCGCCGCATAATAATAACACTTGCATTGAGCATCATTTGAAAAATTATGACAACCAAGAAAAAGAAAAAAACTAAGATTGCTAAAAATGATTTTTAATCAAATACTTGATCATTAGTTTTTTTTTTCTTGTTTCTTATCTTAAATCCATTTAAAGCATCACTCCGAGTGTGACGAACCCATCAAGAATGTTATCTTGAATTTCACCTGGCGTATTACAATTATGTAAAACTTATATAATAAATTTTTATGAAAAACAATTCTAGTAACTTTTGACCTACTTTACAAATGGGTAAATGGTAATAATAGTCTTTATTTATAAACTGTATCTATTTTTCAACCACAAGTTCTTTTTATATATATTTATCCTTTTGCATTAATGCTATTGACTAACCAATATTAACCACAAGTGAAAAGATATCATCCTCGAAATCACAGCTTAGGATTTGCTCGAATTATCTAGAGAACATTATTATAAGAATCGGTTTTGGACCTATAAACAGTAATACAGTAGACACCATAATCATCATTCTATTCAAAACGTCACTCAATATTAAAAATGATTCCAAAGAAACTATTTGATGACCCATTACGATAAATTGTCTCTATTCAAGATTTATTCAATTAAAAGTTTACTCATACTTTGTATATAAGAAAAAAAAAATGGTTGATCAATGAGTATAATAAGTCTGAAATGAAAAAATACACAATTTACAAAAAGGGAACATAAGAAGACAAAGAATGGTGGAGTCTCTGGTGATAGTGCATGCCAACAATTTCAAACCATAGAGCGTATTCGAGCAGCCTACTAAAGAGAGAAAACAAAAAAAAATATACCAAAAGTGTTTGTGTAATGCGTAACGTTCCGAGAGCTTTCATATAAATATGGAAAAAAAAACGAAATAATAATGTGATTATATAAACAAGTAGGTGTCGATAAAGTAGTTATTGAGTTCTTAAGGTCACTGTCGCAAAGTTACTAGTTTAAGTGTTTAGCCATATTAGAAACGAATGATATACTTTGTTTTAAACGTGATAGCAACGATATTATTTGGTCTCGGATATCAAAAAGACAAAAACAATTATGGGTCAAAGGTATATAATTTTTTTAATTTCTCAGATATCATATTTGGAATGTTATGAGAGTTCGTGCAATACTTTAGTTTTGAGATCCTTTCTCAGTTAGCCTCGGACAGTTTTTAATTTTTCTCAAACGAGCTCTCATAACGTTCCAAATATGATAGGCACCCACAAGCGTCTTCTCTTAACTCATTCTCTTTTGCTCTGGTTCCTCACGTAGAGGTGGTTGTTGCTTCACCATTGGAGGCCGAACGTGCAGTACATGACGCGGAGTATGGGAAAACGCTGAAAATGCTTATCACCTATGAAAAAATCACTGAAAAGATCCGGTCTGTTTTTTTAGTATGTAAATCGGATTAACCCAAACCAGCTAAACCAGCTAAACCAACTAAACTAGACTAAATCAATTTAAACCATCTAAACTAGCTAAACCGGTTCTAATCAATTTAAACAAAAAAATTATAAATAAACCAATCCAAGCAACAAATAACCAGTGGAAGCCTTAAACAAACAATCCAAATAATTCAATTGCATTAAACCAGCATTTAATCCATAACCAAACCAATCATCATCTAGAAATATATATAACACCCTAACAAGTTTCTAAATTCCAGACTAACATCATAACAATTCAAACATTATTCCAAGACAACCAACGAGCTCCTAAATCATCTTCCTCTCCTCGTCATGATTCCACGGATAACACTTTTGCTTTACCTACATCACAGAAAAAGATGCATAAATATTTCCATGTAAATTTACTATTATAACCCTATTAAAGTATTAGAAGAGATTTATTAATGTTCAGTTCATTTTTTCCTTTTTCTTTGCCTTGTGAAATAACCAAGGAAAAAGGAAAAGTTACTATTTCTTTAATTATATTAAATTTCAAAATATTACGTATTAAATTTGTCATCATAATTGTCTAATCTTATTATATAAACCTTGGTTTACAAAGTCAGCCATTAACAAGATCGGGACATGTGTAAATTATAAACGATAAGATGTTGACACGTGTTGATTCTAATATTATTAATATTTAGATAAAATAGAATATTATTAACCCTATCGAAAAACGAAATATATTAAAAGATTATTATAAATAATTATATATTAAAAATTTATTAATAAAATTAAACAAATAACATAATTTCAGTTATGTCAATTTGGTGTATTAATAATATAGGGATTTAAAATGTATAATTAGTTGTAGGTTTTACAATTATAAGGGTTATATGGTTGTTTGAGTTTATAAATGCGCATTATAGTTTAGATTTTATAATTAAACGAGATTATTTATTAGTTTGGATTTATAAAGAGGAGTGAGGTTTAGGTTTTACAATTAAACAAGGTTATTTATCAGTTTGGGTTCATCAAAGAGAATTAGGATTTACATTTTACAAATAAAATATATTTTGAGTTTAACTAAATAAATATTTTTATTCATGATTTTTATTTTATAATATGTTATATTTGTTTAATTTTTAATTTATGTATGAATGTATTATGCCATTCAACAATTTCATTGTCTAAAACATAAGGGTGAATAAAAGATTTTCGAAAATAATATTTTTAGCTTAAATTAAAGATAACAAAAGTTCAATATTATTCGTAATATAATAATTTTAAAATATTTTTTAAAATATATATTTAGTTTTTTAAGATTTGTATTTGAAAGATTTTTTAATGTTTTCTTCAACGATGCTATAATTTATTTTAGAATCTTTATGTTTATTTGCGTTGTTTATATGAACTTATTTACAAATGACTATATTTGTATTTTACATCTTATTTTAGATTGATGTTAATTTGAAAGAACTTTACCATCATATTAAATAATAATTAATTAATTTTCATAGTCTGAGAATGATTTTTTTAAAAATTGAAAGTTAAGAAAGAACAATTTTTACAAAATGGTATAATCATGTTTTAGAGGATAATTGCCAAATTAAGATTTTTTAAAATATTTTAGCAATATTATGAATAATGGTGAATAGCTCCCAAATGTTTGGTGATTGTCAGTTTGACATTACTAGATTTTTATAATTAACGTTTAATAACGAATTTTAAGATACATATATACACGTTTATTTGATACTTCAAACCAAGTAAAATTTCTTTCCAAATGAAAATAATTTTTCTTATTTTTTCGAAAAAAAGATCTGGAAATTATTTTTTAATTTTTAATAAATTTTAATTTTAAATAAAGATAACCCGTCCATCGGACGGGTACTAAACTAGTATATATAGATAATTGTGTTTGACGTTTCATGTTTTCCTTATTTTATACCATCAACGGGTCAATATAAGACTAATTTGTTTTTATTTTTGTTAAGATTTCAAGATGTTTTTGTAAAGCATGAAAAAACAAAGAGTATTTGAATTATATATTATAAGATCTGAATTAAACTAGGTAAGGCGGGAGATGATAGTAAGATAGTTTGTAGTTTGATGACATAAAATTTGATTGTTAGTTATTTACACGAGTATAATCAAGCACATCTTAATTAACTTAATTAGTTTACACAAATATTTGACTTTAGGAAAAAGTTTTTACACATTTTATGTACAGTTCATATATTTCCAAGTCATTTCTAAATTACGGAGTTATTGGAAGAATGATTTTTAAAATTTGTTAGAGTTTAAGATTCTATTGTTATTGGTTTATGGATTTTTAGATTCTTAATAAAGTATTTTGTTATTGGTGTGTTGATTTTGTAATTCCATTTAAAATCTTTTGTTATTCAAAAAATTGAGTATTTATTGATTTTACAATTCTATTAAACTCTAGTGTTATTGGAAAGATGATTTCCTACATATTTGGTCATTAACAACTACTTTTAAAATATTGCACTTATCATAAGGATTTGTAAAATCTATCATATTAAGAATCTATTAAACTCACGAGCATAGTTTGCTAGTCTTAGCTGCTGAAGAGGTTCTTTACTCTTTAAGCAGAGAAGAAATAGTAACGCCAATTGTTGTCACTATTGACGAATGTGAGCTGTTTCCAGTCCGGCCTATTCATGGATGTGCCTGTCTATCCTCATCTTGCCCATAAGTTAGAGATTATGGTGTACTCGTATTATACGGAGTGTTTTCTTTGAAAAGTTGGTCTTAAAAGGTGTTAGATTACTTTCTTAGTCTACCCTATGTTAGGCAGTTGGTTTTTTTCTCTTATTCTCTATTTTAGTGTTTATGTTACACGTTAATGTAACAGGATATTAAGGATTTCAAGTTTTTTGGTGTGTCAATGGATCAAAGAAAAAAGAATTCAAAGACTTCGATTGAGAAAAGCTTTCTCTGTTTTTATATAAATCAAAACAACCGTCCTTCACCTTATATAGCTTAAGAGTATCTATCTATACTCTCGTGAAACATAAATCCTAGAGATATATTCTGTTTATTTTTTTTAACAAACATGTCTTTTTGTAAAAGACATTATATTTTGATAAATACCATGTTATTCAGTTCAATATAACATGTGAATTTTATATGTTACACGCTATTTTTCAAAATTTCACAAAAACTATCTCATTTGTGTTTTCATCGCCGAGCTTTTTTTCCTCTTTCTTTCACACTCCAAAATAGAAAGAGGATAAATTTGTCATTTTACTCCTTATAAAACGTGGGTCCATGGCTATTTTACAATTAGAAAAATGTTCCATGGCTATTTACTTAATTTTTGTCTAAAATTTGGCTATTCTCTAATATTACCCTAAAAATTATCCTCGTAAATGCAAAAGTAAAGGCATGAGGTCACATATTATATACTGAATTTAAAAGTCCCCAATTTTGAGAAAGTTACTTTCAATCTCTTATATACTTATACATCCATTAGGGATTATGAAATGTAGATCTCAAAAACTTTTAAAGGGAGGATTAATTGGTAGAATATCATTGATATGTAGGGTGAAATATTTTAAAATACAATATTTTTTTTAAGCTTTGTTAGAAGAGAATTTTTGAGAAATACTTCTTTTGGTGTACTCTTTTTCAAAAATACTCCTTTTACCTATACATCTAAAAAAAAAATATTCCTATTTAAATATGATAAATTATAAAATTTTATATGGTTTATAAGATACGTCTATATAATAACTACTACTGGGAGATTCATGCAAATAATTTATAACAATCTAAAAGGTTTTAAATATATTTTACAAGTTTTACAAGGTTTTTAAATTTTTTTTGGAAGAGTTTATAAGGTTTTTATAAGTTATTTTTACGCTATTTCTGAAAATATAGAAAAGTTTTTATATATATAAAGATAATTGATGTGTATTATATTTATAAGTTTACACACATATTATGATAAATTTCAATATTTTAAGTGAGTTTTTTTATAAAGTTTTAAAATAGGATATTTTTGAAAAGTAGTATTTGAAAAATGGTATTTTTGAAATTCTCCTTTGTTACAAATACCGCCACTGATTTTTTTCATTAATACCACAATTTTTTTTGTATAAAATAATCATTACAAACAAAACTAAAATGGATAACTTTACAAGTTTAAAATTTTAAATGCAACATATATGATTATATATATATGTATATCTCTATATATATTTTTATTAATTTTTGTATAATATGATGATTCATAACAATTACGAACAAAATCAAACAAAGATGATAAGATAATTATAATCTTGAATCTTAAAAGAATCTTCTAAATATCAATATCATTAATTGTGAAAAATAATTATCATTTTATAATTAATGTTAATTTTATTTTGCTTTGGTTGTATGGATAATAAATAATTTATTATTGTTATTTGGATACATGAATATAATTAATATTATTCTCTGCAAATATTTACCAAAATAAAGGTTTGTTTTGAGAATTTATTTTCAAAATATTAGTATACATTGGTTAATTTTTATTCAAATATTTCCAAAAACAATCTAATTATCCAAAAATATTCAATAATATTCGGATTTACAATTATAAGTTTGGCTGTTTATATTACTACAAATATAAATGTAACTAATATTTTAAAAATTTTGGATTTTGGGGTTTGATTCGAATTTTAGCGAATTATAATAATAATTGTAATACTATTATTATTATTTTTTGGAGCAGTTAGCTAATTTACTTTGGAGTTTGGACATTATTAAAAAGTAAATCACATAGCATAATATTTTTTTTGTTTTTTTGGTAATGTTTCGAACTTAAATAATAATAAAAAAATATCAGATAAGATATATGGATCGTATAATTTCGATAATTTCTTCCCAGATAAAACAATTGATTCTCGAGTAATTCAGATAAAGACAAGCAGAGAAACAAAGAGCCCATTGAAATAAGCAATTTGTAAACCCTAAGGCCTATCTCTAGATTTCCCATAGCAACTCACATAGATTCTCTAGTAAAAAAGCTTTTGATCCGATCAAAGAAGTCATTATTGGTAATAAGATCAATCAAAATCTGAGAGATCGTCTACTAAATCTAACTTAAAAAGCATTGAACTTTTCTCTCTATCTCCTTACTCTGTTTTCTTCTGGTCAACCCCCACGAGATTCCTTCTTATGTAGAACAAATCTGAATTGTAAAGAGAGGATTTTTCCGAGATGGGTCTCTTCGAATCGGTGAAATCAATCGATTGGGAACAAGAATCGTACCCAAATTACCAAGATTTGGGGTTTTTGCCTCTCTTTGCAGTGTTCTTCCCTTCTATTCGATTTCTACTTGATAGATTCGTCTTTGAGGTAAAACTACTTACTCTCTTGCTTTTGTACCCTTTGGAATTTTTAGATTTGTCTTGTCTGTCCAATCGCATTTATTTCAGTTTCACCAACTAACCACACAAGAAAAGTACATTACTTTCAGATTTCTACTTTTAGTAATGACACTTCAGACCAATCATTGCTCTCGAGTCGTGTCTCTGTATCAATTTGCTGATCATCAAAAAGTTTAGATTTTTGTTCTGAAGATAAATGCAATGTAGATGAAGATTTGTTTGGTACTTTGGTAGGTGAAAGTTTACATTTTGTTTTATTGGTGTTTGTAGAAATTGGCAAATCTTGTGATCTATGGAAGGAAGAGTACGAATAAGAGTGACAACACAAAAGAGAGGAAGAAGAATAGTCGAAAAGTACGAAAATTCAAAGAATCAGCTTGGAAGTGTATTTACTACCTCTCAGCTGAGCTACTTGCTTTATCTGTGACATATTATGAGCCTTGGTTTTCAAATACTCTCTACTTTTGGATTGGTCCTGGAGATCAGATTTGGCCTGATCAACAGATGAAGTAAGAGTTTTTTTTGTTATGGTCATCGATCTTTTGTGATGGGATTTTGGTAAATTTGATTCTCTAACTAATCTTTGTTTTGTTATGAGCAGGTTAAAGTTGAAGTTTTTATATATGTTTGCTGCTGGTTTCTACACGTACTCGATATTCGCGTTGGTTTTCTGGGAAACAAGACGGTCTGATTTTGGAGTTTCGATGGGTCATCATATCACAACTCTTGTTCTCATTGTCCTCTCCTACTTCTGCAGGTACATATAAATATATGTTTACACATTTGTGGAGGAAAGGAAATGATCCATCTTTACTCTGTCCTTCTTTTGTTTGATGGTATAGATTATCTCGCGCTGGTTCTGTTATTCTTGCACTTCATGATGCGAGCGATGTGTTCTTGGAAATTGGGAAAATGTCGAAATATTGCGGAGCTGAGACGCTGGCGAGTATTTCGTTTGTTCTTTTCGCTTCGTCTTGGGTCGTTCTACGTCTCATTTACTATCCTTTTTGGATCCTGTGGAGCACAAGGTTTGTTATTATCCCCCGAGCGCTTTCTCTTGAATGATTCTCTAGATGTATTGATGTATGCAATGTGATTTTTGATATGCAGCTATCAAATTATTATGACTGTGGACAAAGAAAAGCATCCTATCGATGGGCCGATTTTGTACTATATGTTCAACACACTTCTGTATTTTCTGCTTGTTCTTCATATATTCTGGTGGGTTTTGATTTACCGGATGCTTGTGAAACAAGTACAAGATCGAGGCAAGCTTAGTGAAGATGTTAGATCCGGTACGCAATAAAAATCTATGACAATATCTTGGACAATCCAGGTAGAGAAAGAAGAAAAAAACTCTTATTAATGTTCACATGTCTTCTGCAGATTCCGAAAGCGATGATGAACACGAGGATTGATTACATGTTGGGAATACTCAAGAGACTTCAGATTCCAACATCAAGCCAGATTCAGTGCAGGATGGTTTTGCTAGAATAGATTGGTTTCTCAATCTGAATTTTGAGTTCAATTCTCTATAAAGTTTGAGCAAATTTAAGATTTTGATTAGACACACTGCTCAAACTGGTTCACTTATTGTTCACTTTTCTTCTATAGTTCTAAATTATGGACTTCATTTATGCTTTTGCAATAACACAAAATACAATCCTTGTATCCTTTCGTAAATTAGCTCCTTCAACATCTATGCAGTAGATTAACACTAATTCTTGGGAGTGTTTTTTTTGGTTCAATGGAGAATATGATTAGTTGCGATAATTTGACTTTGCTCCTAAACCAATACAATACTAAACAGATAATACTATTTGATACAAAGAAGAAAATAATGATCACATTATGTGATCTAATTTGAATAATCTTATATTATGTGATTCACATAGATAAATGAAAAAGAAAAATGAAAGAAAGAGAAAGTAATGATGTTTACGCTTCCCCATATTCACATAGATACTAACGTTCTGTTTGATTTGACTTGAGAGTAGAAAAAATATGAACGTTGTGAAACGGTAACATTTTTTACCGTTTCAATATACATGACTCTCTCTATATATATACTCCTTACAAGGGTCATGAATCTGAATCCTTCCTTCTTACTTGGTTTCATATTTTACAAATGACGAGTACAATGTTCTTTAGTTCTGTTCTTCCACTTGAGTCCTCTCACTCTACACTTCTCATTAGCCGAGAGAATTAGACATAAAGCATCATCTTCTTACAAGGTAAGATATTCTCTGGTCTAATTCTCTAGTTTTGTTTACCTGTTCTCTTTCATCTTGTAATAATAATTTATGGACTTGAACGTAAAATTTAAATGCTCTGCTTTTTTAATCTAATTTTGTATGTATATATATTGCTGGCGAAACTTTAACGATGTGGACAATAAACGTTAACTTTTTTTAGTTATATATATATATATATATATATATATATATATATATATATATATATATATATATTGTATTTGTCTGAGAAAACATAGAATGAGGTCTTTTATTTGGAATTGAAAAATAAGAAAGAAAGAATTTGTTTTTTTTTTCTTCTTGAAATTAAAGAAGAAGGTGTTGACATTTAAAATGCTTTCAATTTTTATGTAATGCATGTAATGTATTGACAAACGAAACAAAAAACGATTGTAATGAATGGTTGTTTTTTTTGGTTAATTATTTATTGCAGAGAGTTTGAAGAACGGAAACCCAAGAAACCTTTGGGACTGTGTGGCGTTTTCCCCATCAAGCTTGGCAAGACTTTGTTGAAAGTTGACTAGACGATATATATTGTGCATGTAGCTAGTTGCAATATCTGTATTTTCTTTTTCTCTTTCCTGATAACTGATGGATGGAGTGTGTAGGGTAAATGAATGTTAGGCATAGAGAGTGTATGAAGGTAATGTAGGTATAGATGAATGTTAAGATGTGAAGGTATAAATGAATGTTAGGATGTGTGGAGGCATAGATGAATGTTAGGATGTGAAGGTATAGATGAATGTTAGGATGTGTGAAAGTATGGATGAATGTTAGGATGTGAAGGCATAGATGAATGTTAGGATGTGAAGGCATAGATGAATGTTAGGATGTGTGAAAGTATGGATGAATGTTAGGATGTGAAAGTATAGATGAATTTTAGGATGTGTGAAGGCATAGATGAATGTTATGATGTGTGAAAGTATGGATGAATGTTAGGATGTGAAGGTATATATTAATGTTAGGATGTTAAAGCATAGAGTAATGATAGTATGTGGAGGCATAGATGAATGGCTTAGTATATATGAATGTAAGGATGTTAAGGTATAGATGAATGTTAAAATGTGAAGCTGTGAATGAATGTTAGGATGTTTGTACGCATAGATGAATGTTAGGATGTGAAGGTATAGATGAATGTTAGGATGTTAAGGTATAGATGAATGTTAGGATGTGAAGGTATAGATGAATGTTAGGATGTGTGATGGCATAGATTAATGGCTTAGTATAGATGAATGAATGTAAGGATGTTAAGGGATATATGAATGTTAAAATGTTAAGGTATAGATGAATGTTAGGATGTTAAGGCATAGATGAATGTTAGGATGTTAAGGCATAGATGAATGTTAGGATGTGAAGGTATAGATGAATGTTAGGATGTGTGATGGCATAGATTAATGGCTTAGCATAGATGAATGAATGTAAGGATGTTAAGGGATATATGAATGTTAAAATGTTAAGGTATAGATGAATGTCTTAGGGTGTGTAAGCATAGATGAATGTCTTATATTAGGATGTGAAGTATGAATGAATGTTAGGAAGTGTAGATAATGTAGGGGTGTGAATATATAGATGAATGTAAGGATGTGAAGTCATATTATTTATGTCTTAAGGAGTGAAATAGCTAATGGATGATGTGAATAGAAGTGAAATGACAGTGCGCAAAAAGGCTAATCAACATGCCAAAAATAAAATAAAAAACATTAATGCAAAAGTACGATCAATCAATAATTTCTACAATATTGTACAACGGGCGGATTTGTGAATTTTTTTCGGTTTGTTTACCGTTTGCCGAAACTTAAAAAACAAATCAGTGTTTAATTCAATAATTCTAAAAAATAAAATAAATAATTCATGTATTTTCTGAATATCAAGTTGTAAAAATAAAAAGATTTTTTTTATGGAAAAAATAAAATAAAAATTCTAAAAATATTATATTGTTAATTTTATTTTCTAAAAAACATTAAAAATAATTATTTTTCCAAAGTACCACAAAACTAACCTAAAATTAGATTTTTAATATTTAAATCTCGTTTAAATCTTGCACCTAAAAACTATATCCTAAATTTAAAATATTCAATCTAAACCCAAAAAAAAGAAGTTAAATCCTTGAAAATCAATTTTTTTTTGTTTGTGTAATTGTAAAAACTTTTGTGGTATTTAAAAGAAACTTATTGTGGAATTTCTCTTTATATGTATACTCTAAAATGCTCAAAAATAAAATGGACATTTACATAGATAGCATCATTTTAGGTTTTTGGGCCACAAATACCACTACCATTCATGGAAAGAGACCATACCATTCACATCAGCTTACTTACAGGAGAAGTAAGATCTGATGCTTCAGTCTTCAAATGTCGAAGAGATTCGTGGGAGCTTCTTCGAGAGTGACAGTGAAGGGGAAAGGCCAGCCGAGAGGACGCTGAGCTGCAAGTGGCTTGACTGGACAAAGAGATTGGTAAAGTTGGTTGGTAACTTGGCAAAGACGCAAGCGCAGCATTACTGTTTGACAACAGTATCAGTAGTAGTAGCAGTCCTAAAATCGAGACCGTCATACATAATAATATAATGTACTGATTCGATTAATTCGTTTCAATCGCTAAAAATCTATATATCATGGTCTAGCCCTAGTGACGTTCCATTTTATTAGGTAGGTGACGTTCAGCTCATTCTCTCTTTACGTTCCTACATAAATATTTTTTGTTTTTGTTTTTGTTTTTTTTTTAACCTTTTCATTAAAAAGCAAACACCTTACAGACCCAAGGACCACTAGCACGCAGGCCCAGAAAACATACACAACCATAAAGGTCCACAAAGGCATACAAGCCCCACTTTACAAGGCCAAAAGACCAAAAACCAAAGCACGTAGGCCCGAGAAAGAAAAAGAAGGGAGAAAAAAAGAGAGAGCGAAAGAGGGGAGTATACAACCTGAGAGAGAGAGACGCCAAACCTTAGGGAGGGGGAGACCTGCACTAAGGAGGATAAACAAGAGAGATAGAATGATAATTTAAAAGAGGGAGAACCAAGTTCCCAAGAGAGACAACGCCGTCGGAGCGATCCGCTGAGAACCATGTATGTATTTTTTGTTTTTGTTTCTGTATGACTGTGTCACACCTAATAGATTTAGGATTAATATCTAATCTAAATAAGTTTCTATCAATTACCACAAATTACATACATGCATGAACAATTGCACATAGTCAGCATGCAATAACTATATGTTAATAAACAATTACTTATAAATTAATTAAAATGAATCAAAAGACTACATATATATGGCTAATGTGTAAAATGATTTTTTGATCAAGAAAATAAAAGTTAAATCATAGTTTCCATGTTTTTAACGCCTTTTTAGTCAAAACAAACTATATAAGGCTTGACATGCGGTTTTATTTAGATGAGAGATGATCCAAAAATTATTTCCTAGGTAGATGAGTTTGTTCTTAAACTTTGTCCTTTTTAACTAGTTTTTGTATTTAATGACTTTTTCTTATATAAGTTTCTTAGGTGATACGCTTTAAGTCTGAAAATATTAAATGTATGATGCAGATCGTTTCTTCGGTGGTACATCTTCTTACTATCATCTTTCTCCATTCTGTTCTCAGTTTATGTTGAAGGACGCCTTTGATCTTCTTCTTACTTTTCATGTTCTGTTCTCAGCTTATCTTGAAGGACGCCTTTGATCTCTTTTCTGTTCTTATATCAGCTAATGTGTTTTCTTTGGAGCTATCATTTTTTTTGCTAGGTCGTGGAGGTTCAAGGCCACTGTTTGCAATAGTTGGTGTAGATTTCATAAAAAGCACAAAAATTGAGTTTCAAGCTTTCAGAGAATGAAGTTGGAGCTTCCCATCTCCACACTAATTGATGGGTTCCCACCATTTCTTCTTTGTTTATGCTTTGACTGTGTCTACTCTAGTTGATTACAGTAACCGACTCAGTCTCTAAACTCAAGGGGTTTAAATGTCTATATATCGAAATAACTCATGATGTACAGATACAAGGAAGTGTCGGCCATCAGGCCGAAATAGAACTTCCACTTTGCAACATCAAACTCCTATGCAACGTTAATGACTTCATCTCAAACAGAAGCAATTAGCATCAACTATATAAAAGATTGCATACTGCAAAGTCAGACAGGCACAAGCAGATAATGGGAAGGAAAAGCTGATCTCATCTCCATCAATTATAATGAATAACCAAAACACAAAAAGGCATAAAACACCACATGAATTAAAAATAATAATAATAATAATACTGCCATCGAAATATACCTATAACATTCAGAAATAGAGAAGCTACCATAAAGAGACCAAGTAGATGTAGCACACCAAAATGGACAAACAAGGAAGAGACCAAGTAGTAACATGAAAGACCTATGTTAAAGACTTAACGAAAAAACCAGACATAAGCAGAAATGCGAATTGCACTTAGTGGATGAGGAAACTTCCAATGACATGCAAGTTCCAATCATGTGAAACTCCACACTGTCATAGTCCAAAACTCAGGGAGCGAAAAAACACTTCAAAATAATGTTCTGAATAACAATATGGCAAGCAGAGATGCTCTACCTTAAAAATGTACAATCCCATTTAAAAGGAAGTTATGATCATCTTCCAGCATTTTCCTGGAAAATAATACAATAAGACATACAGAGGAGAGATAACAAGAAAAAGGAAACATACCTATGAGATCACTCCTTCAAGTAACCAGTGAGGAACTCAAAAGCTTACTTCTCTTGAAGTAATTCACAAATAGAAAGGGGTAACAACTAGAAACCACACAACAACAACAAAAAACAAGAAAACAAACCCCATGAAAAAGAAGCTCATGACACCTGAATCAACCAAATATGGGAGCTAAAATCTAAGAATCACTAGGCAAAAAAAGTTCCAAACAGAACTTCTACTTGCATCATCCAAATTCCTACAAAGGAAAACACCATCCCAAACAGAAGTGATTAGCATTTAAACCATAGAAAATGCAGATCATGAAATCTGAAAGACAGTCAAAAAGAGAAAGGAAGAAGAAAAAGAGAAGAAACCACCAAGGAGGTAACATAGAAAATGGTAGATGAAAATTTATTCTACCCTTAAAGAAGAGAAGCACGTCACATAAAAACCAATCCATTTTCACAAGCATATGAGTAGGATCAAACAATAGTAATATAGATTCAGCAAGAGAGAAACAGAGAAAAAGGGAAAGGGATCAGTTAGTAACCGATGCTTTTACTCAGGAAACTAGTAAAGAAAAGAGGCCAGTTAGCTTCACTAGGAAGACAAACATTTTACTATATATGAACCTGGAACATCCAATAACATGAGTAAAGAAAAAAAGACAAGTCATCGTCACAAGCATATGAGTAAAGATCAATACTAGGAATGGATGTAGCATGAGAGAAACACCAACAGAGGTATTGGGGAAAGATACCAGTTTGATCATACTCTAATATGCTTGTGACAGTTTTTAAATGTGAAAAACTCCCCTTCTTTATAGGTATAAGACCAACAGAGATAAAGGGGAAAGAAAACACTAACCTCACGTTTTTCTCTTTTGACCGGTTAGTGACCATGACCTATAACAAAAGACAAGACCGTAGACTCTTAGGCATTAAAACATAAATGCCAACATCATTAGGAAAATCAGCAGACATTACTGGTAACCTGAAACATTCAATAGAAGATCTATGGAAACAAAGATAAAGATAGCCAAGGGAAAGAGGAACAAAAAACCTGAAAAGACCACATGACCTTATGCATCAGAGAGCGCAGACTTAGCAAACCTAACAGACATAAAGACATCCAATACAAAAACACATATATAGATATATATGCTTACAAAGGACAAAGTATAAGAACAAACTCGTTTGGAAGGGAGTTTAAGATCACATGTGTAGACAACACAGAAACAGAGAGAAGTGCTTGAAGTAGAAAATCTGAAACACACAATAAGACACACAAAACAGATCATACCCAACCAACAATAGCCAAAAAAAGGTGAATAGATGCGAAGTAACCACAATTACGAAATTGTACTCAAGCCATCCTTCCCTCCCACATTGCCTTTAGTTTCTAAGATCTAAACCAAAAAAATCACCAAAACAAAAAAAAACATTCAGAAGGAAAACATGTAGAAAGAGAGACCACAATCCTAACCAGAAGGGATTAGCATTTAAACCATATATTATAAAATCAAAATGAGAAGAAATAGATAAGGGGGAGGAACACTGATCAAATCTCCACATAGTTTACCAACCAAAACAAGGGAAAAGACGAAACCACCAAAGAGGTAAAGAGCGCTCGCCTCCTCCCCATCTTTAAACATACTAAAGCTTAAAATCCAATTAATGTAAAAAATGAGATCTAGCTGATAACCAAAGGGAAAGAGGAACCCAAACCTGAATAAACCACAAGTCCAGCCTTGCGCATCAGAGAAACTCAGACTTAAGCTTACCACCTTAACCTAAGAGACTTGAAAGATGTAAGAAGAAAAAATCGTTTCAGACACATGAAAACAAATCATACCTGACCAACAATAGCAAATCTCAGAAACTCATTAGAGAAGAAGCTAACCTGAACATATGGTATACGAGTAGATAAGATCCAATAAAGCAATCCCAATGCCTAGGACAATCTGCAAAACCTAAATCACCAAAACAAAAACCACAAGTAAGAATAACAACATGTAATATAATTAGAAGAAGTGTTAAGAGGAAGAAAACAAAACCCTTGTAGAGATAGATTCATAATTACTTCCAAATCACCTACAAGACAGAGAAAGAGATATAAGTATCAAAGCAAAAAAAAAAAGAAAAGAAAAGAAAAAAGAAGTGTTAAGAGGAAGAAAACAAAACCCTTGAAGAAATAGCTTCCTAATTGCTTCCAAAAAACCTGCAAGACAAAGAAAGAAATGTAAGTATCAAAGCAAAAAAAGAAAGAAGAGGAAAAGGAAGTGTTAGGAGGAAGAAAACAAAACCCTTGACATAGCTTCATAATTGCTTCCAAAAAACCTGCAAGACAAAGAAAGAAATGTAAGAATCGAAGCAAAAACAAAGAAGAAGAAGAAAAAGAAGTGTTAAGAGGAAGAACAAAACCCCTGAAAACAGTGACCGTATTTGAAACCTGAATAGTCCAAACAAAAAGACCAAAAACATGTAAAAAAGACCCTCACTACACAGTCCAAAACTCATGAAGCCAAAACTGACAATTCTAGTTAATGAGGCAATTATATAGCTATCATATAAGAAAGGGCAAGAGGAACCCAAACCTGAATAAACCACATGTCCAGCCTTGCGCATCAGAGAAACTCAGACTTAAGCTTACCACCTTAACCTAAGAGAATTGAAAGTTGTAAGAAGAAAAAATCGTTTAAGACACATGAGAACAAATCATACCTGACCAACAATAGCAAATCTCAGAAATTCATTAGAGAAGAAGCTAACCTGAACATATGGTATACGAGTAGATAAGATCCAATAAAGCAATCCCAATGCCTAGGACAATCTGCAAAAATTAAATCACCAAAACAAAAACCACAAGTAAGAATAACAACATGTAATATAATTAGAAGAAGTGTTAAGAGGAAGAAAACAAAAACCTTGTAGAGATAGTTTCATAATTACTTCCAAATCACCTACATGACAAAGAAAGAGATATAAGTATCAAAGCAAAAAAGAAAAGAAGAGGAAAGAGAAGTGTTAAGAGGAAGAAAACAAAACCCCTGAAGACATATATAGCTTCATAATTGCTTCCAAATCACCTGCAAGACAAAGAAAGAAATGTAAGTATCAAAGCAAAAAAAGAAAGAAGTGTTAGGAGGAAGAAAACAAAACCCTTGAAGACATAACTTCATAATTGCTTCCAAAAAACCTGCAAGACAAAGAAACAAATGTAAGAATCGAAGCAAAAAAAAAAAAAAAAAAAGAAGAAAAAGAAGTGTTAAGAGGAAGAACAAAACCCCTGAAGACTGTGATAGTATTTGAAACCTGAAATTTCAAAACAAAAAGACCAAAAACATGTTAAAAAGACCTTCAATGCGCAGTCCAAAACTCATAAAGGCAAAACTGAAAATTCTAGTTAATGAGGCCATTATATAGCTATCATATAAGAAAGGGAAAGAGGAACGCAAACATGAATACACCACGTGACCAGCCTTGTGCACCAAAGGACCTCACACTTAAGCTTACCACCTTAACCTAAGAGACTTGAAAGGTGTAAGAAGAAAAAATTCGTTTAAGACACATGAGAACAAATCATACCTGACCAACAATAGCAAATCTCAGAAAGTCAATAGAGAAGAAGCCAACCTGAAAATATGGTATACGAGTAGATAAGATCCAACACATCAATCCCAGTGCCTAAAACGATCTGCAAAATCTAAATCACCAAAACAAAAACGAAAAGTAAGAATAACAACATGTAATAAAATTAGAAGAAGTGCTAAGAGGTAGAAAACTAAACCCTTGTAGACATAGCTTCATAATTAATTCCAACTCACCTACAAGACAGAGAAAGAGATATAAGTATCAAAGCAAAAAAAAAAAAAGGGGAAGAAAACAATACCCTTGTAGAGATAGTTTTATAATTACTTCCAAATCACCTGCAAGACAAAGAAACAGATATAAGTATCAAAGCAAAAAAGAAAAGAAGAGGAAAGAGAAGTGTTAAGAGGAAGAAAACAAAACCCCTGAAGACATATATAGCTTCATAATTGCTTCCAAATCACCTGCAAGACAAAGAAAGAAATGTAAGTATCAAAGCCAAAAAAGAAAGAAGTGTTAGGAGGAAGAAAACAAAACCCTTGAAGACATAACTTCATAATTGCTTCCAAAAAACCTGCAAGACAAAGAAACAAATGTAAGAATCGAAGCAAAAAAAAAACCAAAAAAGAAGTAAAGAAGTGTTAAGAGGAAGAACAAAACCCCTGAAGACTGTGATAGTATTTGAAACCTGAAATTTCAAAACAAAAAGACCAAAAACATGTTAAAAAGACCTTCAATGCGCAGTCCAAAACTCATAAAGGCAAAACTGAAAATTCTAGTTAATGAGGCAATTATATAGCTATCATATAAGAAAGGGAAAGAGGAACGCAAACATGAATACACCACATGACCAGCCTTGTGCACCAAAGGACCTCACACTTAAGCGTACCACCTTGACCTAAGAGACTTGAAAGGTGTAAGAAGAAAAAATTCGTTTAAGACACATGAGAACAAATCATACCTGACCAACAATAGCAAATCTCAGAAGGTCAATAGAGAAGAAGCCAACCTGAAAATATGGTATACGAGTAGATAAGATCCAACACATCAATCCCAGTGCCTACAACGATCTGCAAAATCTAAATCACCACAACAAAAACGAAAAGTAAGAATAACAACATGTAATATAATTAGAAGAAGTGTTAAGAGGAAGAAAACAAAACCCTTGTAGAGATAGATTCATAATTACTTCCAACTCACCTACAGGACAGAGAAAGAGATATAAGTATCAAAGCAAAAAAAAAAGAAAAGAAAAGAAAAAAGAAGTGTTAAGAGGAAGAAAACAAAACCCTTGAAGAAATAGCTTCCTAATTGCTTCCAAAAAACCTGCAAGACAAAGAAAGAAATGTAAGTACCAAAGCAAAAAAAGAAAGAAGAGGAAAAGAAAGTGTTAGGAGGAAGAAAACAAAACCCTTGACATAGCTTCATAGTTGCTTCCAAAAAACCTGCAAAACAAAGAAAGAAATGTAAGAATCGTAGCAAAAACAAAGAAGAAGAAGAAAAAGAAGTGTTAAGAGGAAGAACGAAACCCCTGAAAACAGTGACAGTATTTGAAACCTGAAACGTCCAAACAAAAAGACCAAAAACATGTTAAAAAGACCCTCACTACACAGTCCAAAACTCATGAAGCCAAAACTGAAAATTCTAGTTAATGAGGCAATTATATAGCTATCATATACGAAAGGGCAAGTGAAACGCAAACATTAATACACCACATGACCAGCCTTGCGCATCAGAGAAACTCAGACTTAAGCTTACCACCTTAACCTAAGAGACTTGAAAGATGTAAGAAGAAAAAATCGTTTCAGACACATGAAAACAAATCATACCTGACCAACAATAGCAAATATCATAAACTCATTAGAGAAGAAGCTAACCTGAACATATGGTATACGAGTAGATAAGATCCAATAAAGCAATCCCAATGCCTAGAACAATCTGCAAAATCTAAATCACCAAAACAAAAACCACAAGTAAGAATAACAACATGTAATATAATTAGAAGAAGTGTTAAGAGGAAGAAAACAAAACCCTTGTAGAGATAGATTCATAATTACTTCCAAATCACCTGCAAGACAACAAAGAAAGAGATATAAGTATCAAAGCAAAAAAGAAAAGAAGAGGAAAGAGAAGTGTTAAGAGAAAGAAAACAAAACCCCTGAAGACATATATAGCTTCATAATTGCTTCCAAATCACCTGCAAGACAAAGAAAGAAATGTAAGTATCAAAGCAAAAAAAGAAAGAAGAGGAAAAAGAAGTGTTAGGAGGAAGTAAACAGAACCCTTGAAGACATAACTTCATAATTGCTTCCAAAATACCAGAAAGACAAAGAAAGAAATGTAAGTATCAAAGCAAAAAAAGAAAGAAGAGGAAAAAGAAGTGTTAGGAGGAAGAAAACAGAACCCTTGAAGACATAGCTTCATAATTACTTCCAAATCACCTGCATGACAAAGAAAGAAATGTAAGAATCGAAGCAAAAAAAAATGAAGAAGAAGAAAAAGAAGTGTTAAGAGGAAGAACAAATACTGTCACTACACAGTCCAAAACTCATGAAGCCAAAACTGAAAATTCTAGTTAATGAGGCAATTATATAGCTATCATATAAGAAAGGGAAAGAGGAACGCAAACATGAATACACCACATGACCAGCCTTGCCCATCAGAGAAACTCAGACTTAAGCTTACGACCTTAACCTAAGAGACATGAAAGGTGTACGAAGAAAAAATCGTTTACGACACATGAGAACAAGTCATACCTGACCAACAATAACAAATCTCGGAAAAGCATTAGAGAAGAAGAAGAACACTACCTGAAGATGTAGCGCATACCACCTGACCTAAGAACATGAGAACATGAGAACATATTATATCTAACCAACAATAGCAAATCTCAGAAACTCATTAGAGAAGAAACCAACCTGAACATATGGTGGATGAGTAGATAAGATCCAAGAGAGCAATCCCAGTGCCTAGAAAAAATCAGACCTGAACAATAATAACAAAATATAAATCCCCAAAACAAAAACGCCAAGTAAGAATAACAACATGTAATTTTGATTAGGAAACAAACCAACAATGCAATTTAAAACCCAAAGTGAAGCAGAGGAAAACGAGAGTCCAATGTTCCAAAAAGAAGAAGAAGAAAAAAAAGCAAATCAGTGATGGATCATAATAGAATCATCATCATCATCATCATCATCATCCACCACAATCCACGACAAGTTAAAAATCAAACCGTAGGAGGAGTGAAAAATTCAGAAGCGGTAGCGACGGTCGAATCATAGAATCGCTTCCAAAAGACCTGCAAGACGAAGAAACTTACTTAGTTACATATGAAACGAGAAAACAAAATAAACAATCAGAGATGCGTTAAGAAGAAGAAGAAGAAGAAGAGTAACAGAGCTTAGAGATTAGCATGAACCGTTGCAATGCAATTGAGAGAGACGAACACCAAACCCACCCACCATAACCATGACTCGACTCGTACAGAGGAGGTGTTAGTGACGGAACAAATTAAAACTAAAAGATGAAGATGAAGAAGTTTACACAAGAGCGTGTTATTTATAGATATAAGGTATCTGACGGTCTCTATTTGATCTTGTGTGATTTTTAACGGTCCTGATTATAACTTTCCTTTTCTTTTTTTACTAAGCTCTCAGTTTTTCCTTTTTGTTTTTAAAACCTCTAACTATTTCCTTTTTCTAATTTTCCTTTTTTCCTATATTTCCTTTTTGTTTTTGTTAAAACATCTAACTATTTCCTTTTTCTAATTTTCCTTTTTTCCTATATTTCTTTTTTCCTATATTTCCTTTTTGTTTTTCTTAAAACGTGACAAAAAATCGATATTTCCTTTTTCTAATTTTCCTTTTTACTATATTTCATTTTTCTGATTTTCCTTTTTTCCTATTTAGCTTCTTTGTTATTTCCATTTTTGTTATAGTGGCCGCCCAACAAAAATAATTTCAAATTGGTTTTTGCTTCACCATCCGTCCAAATTCCTTAAACGCAAAATATATGTAGCGTACCACTACTATTCCATTTTTCTAGTAAATATATATATATATACTTGTTGACCAAAAGTATTATTATATGGCTACTTTGAGATAACAATTATTAATTATTTTTTAATCAAAATAAAACAAAACAAATTATTTTTTTCATCTTTAAAAATCTTATTTTTGCAATGTTCGATTCTTTGCTCTCTTTTTTTTTGGTTAAAAAAAAAACTATTGCTCTCTTTTTTTTTGGTTAAAAAAAAACATAGTTTCATGTTCTTCCTAATTCTCCAACGTATAGATTTCACAAATATTATTAATATGTATTTTTCTCTTAAACAATCCATTTAGTTCAAATCCGATTTTATTATTCTCAACGTTGAATTATGATTTATGAATGATCATATAAGGTTAAGAAGAAGAAGAAGAAGAAGAAGAAGAAGAAGAAGAAGAAGAAGAAGAAGAAGAAGAAGAAGAAGAAGAAGAAGAAGAAGAAGAAGAAGAAGAAGAAGAAACTAGTCTAATAAAACATACATAAAAACGAATAGTGGGTAGTACTATGTATCTCATATCCATCCGTAGAGCTATGTACTAGAATAGTGGACATTATATTGGACACGAATAGCTCTGTTAGTTACATATGGAGTCAGCACAGTCCATTTTTATAGGTTTTAGTTTGAGTTTAAGTTTGACTTGGAGTTTTAGTTTAAGTTTCAGACTTTTAAGTGTTTGAGTTTCAGCTTTGGTACAAGTGTTTGAGACTTTGAATGTTTTTTCGAGTTACAAATTTAGTGTCTGTTTTCAATGTTTCATGAGTTTGTTAGGTTACATTTTTTCATGAGTTTTTTTTTTTTTTTTTTTTGAATGAATGTAAAATTAGATTCAACCAAAAAAGAGACCTTGTTCTTACAATATATGCAACGTAAGATTGAAAAATTTGCTCAAAGCCTAGGAATTAGGAAAAATATAAAAAACAGAGCGTTTAGTATCTAGAGGCCAACCAAGAGCTGAAGACGTCTCCTTTGAGTGAGCTGCACCGGTTGCGAATATGTCGATCAATGAGTAGAATGAGCTGGTCTGTAGGCTGAGGTCGTTCTCCGTGACGTCTGTTGTTTCTTTCCCGCCAAAGCGAGTGAATTGTAGACTGGAAAACATACCTTATGATATAGCGAACAGTTGGAGGGAGTTGGGTCCCCGAGATGAGAGAGACGACATCCCAGAATAGCGGAGTGTATTGTGCTTGCAGTAGGCGAGATGTGAGATCGTGCCATACTTGTGATGAGTAGGGACAAGAGAAGAATAGATGGTCACGGGTTTCCCACGGGTCATTGCAAAACGCACAACCTGTTGATATCCCTGAGTTCCAAGCGCCCATTCGATCCCCTGTTGTAAGGCGGTTGAGAGTAGCCAGCCAAGAAATAAATGAGAACTTAGGGGTGGAGTAGGAAAACCAGATCCCTTTAGCCCATTGAAGCGTTACACCATTGTTGCGTATCTGAAGCCAAGTGTCTTTCGCAGAGAACTGTGGCCTGAACTTGTTACTTATACCTCGCCATAGGGGTACATCACGAGCATTGCCTAAACCATTGCGAAACTTATCCAACTCAGCTTCAATCTGGTTTAACAACTCACCACGGTGATGGCGGCGACGGTGTCTAAGAGCATCAACAATAGTAGCAGTACGGGGGATCCCAAGGTCTATGAAACCTCTATCACCTAGCAAGTCGTGAAGGATACCAAGGGGGCACCAATTGTCAAACCAGAAGGAGGTAGTAAGGCCATTGCCCACGTTCTTACGGCAAAACTCCTTAGCCTGAGATCGATATTTAAGGAGTTTCCTCCACATCCAAGAACCCAAAGTTGTAGTGTTTGTAGCTGACCAAAAAATTTCATTCCGAAGCAACTCGCTCTTAACCCAATCAACCCATAGCGAATTTGCTGAGAACAGACGCCAAATGAGTTTAAAACAGCTTACTTTGTTTGCCTCAGCAAGAGACTTCAGGCCTAATCCGCCCTCCTCTTTGGGACGACACACATCACGCCATGCCACCTTTGCCTTTGTGGAGCTTAATTCCGGACCAGACCAAAGAAAAGCGGAGCATATAGCTTCAATTTCTTTGATGCAAGCACTCGGTAGACGGAAAGCAGAAATCCAGAAATTCGTCAAACTGAAAATAACGGAGCTTAGGAGTTGCAGCCTTCCAGCATAAGATAGAAAACGGTTTTTCCAAGAACTGATGCGCGATCTGATTTTTTCCAAAAGAGGGAGACAGTCAGACAATGACAGACGCTTAGTAAGCAGTGGAAGACCCAAGTATCGAACCGGTAGAGTACCCAATTCAAAAGGAAAGCGACTTAGAATGTTAGCCCGAACTGTACCCGCGACACCTGCCAAAAACAAAGTAGATTTCTCCAAACTGATACGTAACCCGGAGATTTCGGCAAACTCTTTGAAGACCCCCAAGATATGATCCATGGACCGTAAAGTGCCATCCGAGACCACCATTATATCATCAGCAAAACACAAGTGAGTTAGCTTCAGATTCTTACACTTTGGGTGGTAGCCAAATCTATTATCGGCCGCCGCTTTATCCAGCATATGAGACAAAACATTCATACTCATGACAAACAGGTAAGGCGAGAGTGAACAGCCCTGACGTAATCCACGAGTACTTTGGAAGAACCCGGATAATTCCCCATTTACTTGGACAGAAAAAGAAGCAGTAGAAATACAAAGGTTGATCCAATGAATGAACTGTTCTGGAAAATGCAGAGCCCGAAATATATTCAGAATAAAAGACCATTGTACCGTGTCAAAAGCCTTGGAGATATCAAGTTTCATCGCACACCGAGGAGAGATGCCTTCTTTGTGGTAATCTTTAACTAATTCAGTGGCAAGAAGTAAATTCTCCATTAGCAGTCTATCATGGATAAAAGCTGACTGGTTTGGAGCAATGATATCAGGAAGAATTCTCTTAAGGCGATTAGCGATAATCTTGGAGATGGCTTTGTACAAGACGTTACAGCAAGAGATTGGCCGATAGTCTTTCATTGCTCTTACGTCGACTGTCTTTGGGATCAGAGCCAGAATGGTAGTGTTGAGACCTTTTGGAAGGAAGCCATAAGTGAAAAAAGATTTGACGGAAAGTATGAGCTCACGCCCGACTATATCCCAAGCTTCCTTGAAAAACTCCGTAGTGTACCCGTCTGGACCAGGAGCCTTATTCGTCGGCATAGAAAAAATGACCTTCTTTATTTCTGCCTCGGTGACCTCAGCAGTGAGCCGGGTTTGATCATGGTCAGAACAGCGGAAAGGGATCAAAGCTCCTATATACTCTACAGAGGCGCCTGAGAAGTCAGATGGGGCGGTAGTGAGAAGATCCGTAAAGAAGCGTACAGCCTCAGCCTTGATGTCATTTGAGTTTGTGAGAGTTACCCCCGCTGGATTTTGCACCTCATGAATCGAGTTTAGAGCTTGTCTCTCTTTGACTCCATTATGAAAGAACTTATTATTCCTGTCTCCAACCTTAATCCAGTGCAGTTTAGACCTCTGCTTCAGGAATTTCTCTTCTAAGCCTGCAACTTTTTCCCACCTTTCATATGCTTTTGTTTCTTCCCTGAGGTCTTGAGGATTGGGAGACGAGAGAGTGCGGAGTTGTAACAAACAGAGATCATCATAGGCAGCTGCTGCACGGCGAGAGATATCTGAGAGTTTATTTCGGCCAAGCTCACGGAGAATAGGTTTTAATAACTTTAGCTTCTTCGAAAATCGAAAAAGAGTGGAGGTAGATTGAAACAGAGGAGAGGAAGCTTGCCAATAGCTCTTCATTCGCGGTATGAACTCGGGCTGAGAAGCTATAGCATTGGTGAATTTGAACGGTCCTCGAGAACGAGAGAAACCAGAAGTGAGAGAGATAGTACCCCGGAGGTGATCAGAACAGCCTCCGGCTTCCATAGTACAGTAGGACTGAGGAAAGGTCTGAAGCCAGCCAGGGTTATGGAGCGCCCGGTCCAGCTTTTTGCAGATCAACCCGCCGTCTTGCTTATTAGACCAAGTAAAAAGAGGGCCATGGGTTCTTAGGTCGGCAAAGGAGCAATACCGAACTAAGTCTTGGAAATCACGCATGCCTGAGGTTAACTGAGGGGAGATGGCGACCCGAGAATGCTCATTTGGGTCCAAAGTCTCATTGAAATCACCAAATAAAATCCATGGCTTACTCTGAAAAGCTAGAGAGTTCTGTTGTTGTTTAATATCTTGCCACAAATCCTTCCTTTCTACTTCCAGGTTAGAGGCATAAATGAAAGAACATACAAAGTCCTCATCCAAATTTGGCAGTTGAATGAGACAAGTGATTAGCTGACTACTCTTATGCAGGACCTGCAACTTAACTTTCCCACTCCATACCACCCAGATCCGTCCCAATCTGCTAAACTCGTAGTTAGAGACCATATTCCAAGTCGAAAAAACCTTTTGAACAATGTTAGACGCTTTGCTATCTTTTACTTTTGTTTCCAATAAACAACCGAACTCCAAACCAGACTTTGAACATAACCAATCCCGAACGACTAACTGCTTACTTTCTTTATTAAAACCACGGATGTTCCAGAAGAACCCCGACATTAATGTTTCTTTTTAGTAGACTTTTTTCTGATAGTAGGTTGAACTGTGGCAGAAGCTTTCACTTGTGAGGAGGAAGCCTGCAAATACTTATGAGCATTCTTAGAATCTCTAGGTAGGACTGGGCGCAATGTAACATTTTCATCTTTGTGATCTCTATTTGTAGATTTCAGATTTCCAGCAGGGACGGTCTCGACAAGTAATTCCTCCTCCATTGTATCTTCTCTAAAAGCATCAAAACGTGTTGGCGAAATAATTGTTAGAGGAACAACGCCATCCTGAGTGTGTGATGCAGCTCTGCCCCCACCTCCAGAATGGGTAACCTTAGACCACTCTTCATCCTTAGACCCGAACGCTTGTATAGTAGAAATAGGCGAGAGAGGAATAAACTCCCCCTCCTCCTGTTCTGTGACGATGTTTCCTACCTCAGAAACTGTTACAACGGGGACCAATTGCTGAACAGGTTCTGTGCTAACTTGCTCTGCAGGCACCTCAACAGAAGGCGTAGCAGGAGGCGATGTGACCTTGTCAGGAACACCTACAGACTCAAATACTGGAGCAACCAAAGAAACAGAGAGGTCTGTACTCGCGTTTGCACCAGGTTCATGGTGAGATATTACTCGCTTGTTTGGGCTCGTTCTTGACTTACCCGCTGCTGCAAGGCATCCGTCATCAAAATGGCCCCATTTGTTACAGAGACCACAACATGGAGGGAGCCATGGATATTCATATTGAACACTTGTCTCCTCCCCTTTAATCTTGAAGATGTAAGATTTAGGTAATTCCTTCGCAAGATCCACCTCAACAAATACTTTTGCCTCATCAAAACATGTAACTAATTCCGTCTCTTGGTGCAATCTTTTAGGCTCACCCACCGGACTGGCGAGGAAACTAAGACCCGGCCATGAAAACATGGAAGGTGGGACGTTCTTTAGAATGACCCACATTGGCATAGACTTGATCTCTGGTTGAGCGTCCTCCGCAACCGGAGTCCATTTCGACACAATCATCGGCTGATCACATATGTTCCACATGCCCCTACGTAACACATGGTTTCGCACGGCAGCATTTCGGATTCTGAACTTCACCATCTTTTCATTCATACTATACACATCTATCTTTATAGATCGATCGCCTAGGTTCCAAATTTTGTTCACGATGACATGAATCCGGCCAACATGCGGAGCAGCATTAGGGAACCTACCCACCAAGAAATCCTCCCAAAGAGGCACTGAATCTTTTAACACTTCATCAGGGACAATCACCATGGCTTTACCATCAACCACACTAACTTCAACGTTGAATTTTGAGAGAGCCGGTTTCCCAACAATCGTAGCATACGACTTTTGAACTGAAATTGCAGCAGGATCCATCACGGGAGGGTTTCCCGTCGGTGGAGACCCAAGACCAGCTTCCTCCGCCATGGGAGACAGGCGGCGAGCCCCAAAACCACTCATGCTTAAACTACTCTCAAAGTCATAGTCTTTCACGTACACTCCTATTGAAGAAATGATTGTCAAGAAATCAAGATCGAGCCTATGTACCAATACACTAATCCTAATAAGGAGGAGGTGGTTTTCTTCATGAAATTTTTGTTTCACAATAATGCGTATCATGTGTTTCATCTACGTCAAACAAATTCAAAATCTTTGTCTGTCACTGTCATACAAGGCCACTTTCTTCTGTACTCTTGGCCCCTGCAATAAAAACCATTAGGGAACTACAAAAGAATACGCTAGGCATCTCCACTGCAATAATTGTTTCGATATACAAATTTGAATCTCTGAGTTTAGACACAGGCTAGGTTACTGTTATCAACTAGAGAAAGTAATTCACAAACCAACAGAGACACAATAATCACAAGCCAAAGAATAGTAAACCTCGTAAAACATGAATCTACCAGAGATGGAAACAACTACTAAAAAGCTTGAAACATAGAAAAGCCACCCCTACACTGAGAGTATCAAACATCGATTATGACTTCATCTCAAACAGAAGCAATTAGCATCAACAATAGAAAAGATTGAATACTGCAAAATCAGACAAGCACAAGTAGACAAGGGGAAGGAAATGCTTATCACATCTCCATAGAATATAATGTTAACCAAAACATAAAAAGGCATAAACACCACATCTATTACAAAAATAAAAAAAAATACTGCAATCATCGATGCCAAAAATTAAATAAAAAAGGGAGTCTGGCTTCTTCACATCCTCAACATACCTATAATAATAAAGGAAACTAATTCATAAATAAAGAAGCTACCATCACAAGCAGTAAGAGACCAAGTAGATGTAGCACACCAAAATGGACAAACAAGGAAGAGACCAAGTAGTGACATGAAATACCTGTGTTAAAGACTTAAACAAAAAAAAACAAGCATAAGTAGAAATGCAATTTGCACTAGACAGATGAGGAACATTACTGTTGACGGGAAACTTCCAATGACATGCAAGTTCCAATCATGTGAAACTCCACACTGTCATAGTCCAAAACTCAGGGAGCGAAAAAACACTTCAAAATAATGTTCTGAATAACAACATGGCAAGCAGAGATGCTCTACCTTAAAAATGTACAATCCCATTTAAAAGGAAGTTATGATCATCTTCCAGCATTTTCCTGGAAAATAATACAATAAGACATACAGAGGAGAGATAATAAGAAAAAGGAAACGTACATATGAGATCACTCCTTGAGGCAACCAGTGAGGAACTCAAAAGCTTACTTCTCTTGAAGTAATTCACAAATAGCAAGAGGCGTAACAACTAACAACAACAATAACAACAAAAAATAAACAAACCCCATGAATTATAAGCTCATGAAACCTGAATCAACCAATTATGGAAGCTTTGAATTAAGAATATTCTAGACAAAAAAGAGGTACAAACAGAACTTCTAGTTACATCATCCAAATTCCTATACGTCAGAAAGAGAAAACACCATCCCAAACATACGTGATTAGCAGTTACATCATAGAAAAATTCAGATCATGAAATCAGAACAGTCAAACAGAGAAAGGAAGATGACAAACTGAGCATATCTCCAAGGAAAAGAGAAGAAACCACCAAGGAGGTAACATAGAAAATGGTAGAGAAAAGTTATCCTACCCATAAAGAAGAGAAGCAATTCACATATAAAAAAAAAACAATCCATTTCCACAAGCATATGAGTAGTATCAAACAATAAGAATATAGATTAAGCAAGAGAGAAACAGAGACAAAAGGGAAAGGGACCAGTTACTAACCAATGCTTTTCTTCTATAGAACCTCGACTAGTTAAAGAGAAGAGGCTAATTAGCCTCACTAGGAAGACAAGACTGGGCTTAAAACCTGAAATATCCAATTAAAAGACCAAATAAAACTCCCTGATGGCACAGTCCAAACTCAAAATCCATGTAATAAAAACATATAGATAGCTGAGAATACAAACGGAAAAGAGGAACAAAAACCACATGTCCAGCATAGTAGCATAACACCTAAGAGACATAAAAAGAAGAGGTTGAATACAAAATTAAAAAAGGACAATGTTTAAGAACAAACTCGTGTAGGAAATTATTTTTGGATCATCTCTCTCATTCTTAATGTGTGTACACAGCAAGAACATCTGGGAAACACAAGCAACAGAGGACCAACATTAGCCAATATCAAATAATATAAGTGATAGGCAAAAAGGTGTATAAATGTGAGGTTTACCTGAAAGTTCATCAGCACTCTCACTATTTTTTTTCTTTTTCTCTTCGAAACCTACCACACAGTAATCCCGGGGCCTCGACAATCTGCATCAAAGAAAGACATAGATTTTTTTCACTTAGAAGGATAAATCAGTAAAAAGGAAGAACACTACCTGAAGATACAGTGCAGAGAAGGCAAAATGTATCAATTGAAGCTGAAAGAACTACTCAACCAAGAGTTTGAAATGAAGGACTTAGGACCAGCAAGGAAAATCCTGGGAATGCAGATCAAGAGAGACAGAGATCAAGGAATTTTGGAGTTGTCTCAAAGTGAATATGTTGAACAAGTCTTAAGGACTTTTGGAATGGATCAATCGAAGGCCACACAGACACCACTGGGTGCTCATTTCAGATTAAGAGCTGCTTCAGAACAAATTCTCAGAAGAGAAGAAGAGTACATGAGCTCAGTTCCCTATCCTAATGCTATTGGAAGCATTATGTACTCTATGATAGGATCAAGGCCGGATTTGGCATATCCTGTGGGGGTTGTAAGCAGGTTCATGAGCAGACCTTCAAAAGAACATTGGCAGGCTGTGAAATGGGTCATGAGGTACATGAAGGGGACACAAGATATGTGTCTAACGTTTAAGAGGGAAGAAAAGTTTGAGATCAAAGGTTACTGCGATTCTGACTATGCAACTGATTTGGACAAGAGAAGGTCTATCACAGGCTATGTATTTACAGCTGGTGGGAATACAATAAGCTGGAAGTCATGTTTACAGAGAGTGGTGGCTCTGTCAACAACAGAAGCAGAATACATGGCCCTAACAGAAGCAGTAAAAGAAGCTTTATGGCTGAAGGGTTTAGCTGCAGAGATGGGTTTCAATCAAGAAGCAGTTGAGATTATGTGTGACTCACAAAGTGCCATAGCTTTGTCCAAGAACTCAGTTCACCATGAGAGGACAAAGCATATAGATGTGAGATATCACTTCATAAGGGAGAAGATTGCAGATGGGGAGATTCAAGTTGTCAAGATTTCAACAACTTGGAATCCAGCAGATATCTTCACCAAGATAGTACCAGTGAGTAAGCTTCAAGATGCTCTGAAGCTTCTCAGGGTCTCCAGCGAATGAGAGACCACAGATCCGAGATTGGAAATCAAGTAACACTAAGAGGACAAAGTCAAGTGAATTTGAACCAAGGAGGAGTTTTGTGGGTTTTGTTTAAAATTCACCAAGTTATTAAGAGACTCCAGCTGGTTCAGAGGGTTCACAAGCAAGGAAGAAAGAAAGAAAGGGATAAGAAGTTCTGTGTATAACAGAGGGTTCACTTTTTGGTCTAATGTCGATGCTTTCTTCTTCTCAGTCTCTCTCGTTCTCTCTCATGGCGTCACCACCTGAACCAAAATCGTACAAGCATGAATTGGGGAGCAAACAGAAGCGTGAAGAAGGCTGCCTGCAATTCGTACGAATCAGGCCGTGTCTGGCGGAGAGAGAGATCCGACAACAAGAAGAATTGGCGACCAAGTTGTCGGGTAAGGTTCTCTTTGTCTTTATAATGAGAACTGTGAGAAACTTGTAAGGGGTGGTGAGTTCAAGTTTGTATTGAGAGAGAGAAGTTGTAAGAACCCTAAAGGCTCTAGATTTGAGCAAAGTCTTAGTGGATTTCCGAGGAGAGTCTCGGCCAGACGTAGCGACACCATTCCGGGTCGTGAACTGGATAATTTGCTGTGTGTTCTTTATATTTTCTCTAAGCTTATCCCATACAAACGAGAGAAACAGAGAGTTGAGAGAAATTCCTTTAAGTTAAACCAAAAGCTTGAATCTTTCTTAAGTCTTGAGTGTAAAGGTGTTGGCTTTCTCGGTTCTAACTTTCACAGATCCTCCTCCAGAAATCTAAACCAATAAAACAAAAAAGACAAGTAAATGAAAATCAGACAAACCTAGAAAGATGATAAACCAGAAGAAAGATTTTATTACAGAGGGCACAAACACACACACCAGAATCACAAAAAGGATACGTTTGGTACCAGACTCCTTTTGGAACTTCTCAGCCAGAGTGTTCATATCCTTCAGTCACAAGGGAAATTCATCACCAGAGTGTTGCATATTTTTCGTTCCTAAGCTTGATCACAGCATTTAGTTTCCTCTCGCATTCTTCACGACTGATCACCTTCTTCCAAGTAGCCTGTGACTAGCCATGATAAAATCAGGGCCAAAAAATATTACATTAAGATTCAATTTTGTTTCAAAATATCAATTTAGATCAAAGGACATAAGAACGGACTCAAGAGAATCTAAATCACCATTACTAACTTGGTCGTCTTCTTTAAGAAGGTTAACAAAAATCCCAAACAATGGCTTTAGCAAGTGTGGCTCCCATCTGTAACGCTTGTCAATACAAAGTATTATAAATAAATAAAAACAGAGTCTTGTGGCGAAACCCTAGAAGGTGAAAAATCAGAATCCACAAGAAGAAGAAGAAGAAGAAGAAGAAGAAGAAGAAGAAGAAGTTGCCTTGATATACAAGTGTAAAAAGACTGAGAGCGAGTGATTGAGGAGGAGGTCATTATTTATAGATAAGGTCGGAAAGCTATTGACGGTCTCGATTTGATCTTATGTAAGATTTCAACGGCTGTGATTAAAACGACAAAGTCGGTAAGTCAATGTGCACTTTTCCTTTTTTCTTTTTTGGCAAATTTGAACCGTTAGATTCATCTTTCATATTTCCTTTTTTTTTTTTCTTTAGAATTCTCCTTTTTCCTATTTCCTATTCTTTCCTTTTTGTTTCTATTTCCTTTTTCCTATATTTCTCAAAAAAAAAAACTTATTAATATTAAAAACAATAACTAATTTAAAACGGAATTTATAAATTCCAACACAAAATATTTGCCACTAAATTGCTCAAAAAAAAAAAAACTTATTAATATTAAAAACAACAACTAATTTTAAACAGAATTTATAAAATCCAACACAAAATATTTGCCAAAAAATGAAAAGAAAGAATAATCTCATCAATAAAGGAAAAAACAAAAAAAAAAAACTAAATTCAGCATTTACTTAGGCGCACAATAGCGATACGCCTTTGAGATTGGTTTGGGGTTTTAGCTTTGTTTCTCGCTGTCTTGCCCGAGAAGACTGAACCATTTGCTAAGTTCTCTTTTCTTCTTTGTTCATCATCGATCAATTCTACTGCACAAAAGGTACGTTTTTTCACTTCCTTCTCTACCCTTTACCCTAAATTTTATTGCTTTGTTTCTTCCTGTGTCGTCTCTCTCTGCGATTCGTATTCATATTGCTTCGATTGATGATATACTCTATATAGTCTGCTCTTGGAATGTATAACTTATAGATTTTTACTCTGTTCTTACGGATTTGAGTTTGAATCTTGTGGTTTTGGATATTTAGAAAAGAATCGATTTTTTTATCTTCATCTAGTTAGATTTGGGGGTTTCCGCAGTTTTCATTGATTGGATTGGAACTAGAGAAGGAAAAAAAAAAATCAATAATTTAACAAAAGATCTGAACCAAGTATTGTTTTGGCAGTCTCTTGAGTTAGTTCTTTGAATAAGATCTGTGATAGGATTGATTGCTAGCTTTTGGTTGCTTTGATTGTGGAAATATAAGATGAGTTCATGTTCGTACATGTCCACGAACCAAAACAAGTCTGCGTTTGATTTAGTTTTGGCAGCAACTAGTCCTGTTTTGGTGTCTTTTCTAATCTCACTCACAGGAGTGTGTGATCTCTCTTATTTAGAATATCAGATATTTGATCCTGAGACTGTTATATTTGATAATTGATGATACAACTGAATTGTTAGTTATTCGATTTGATCAGAACCAAAGAACTGTGTGTATTTTCATCATCTGATTCAGTTTAAGTGTCATTGTTGTTTATCTGATTCTCATGGTTATTTAAGAACTTCATTTTATGAAGATCTGTGATTTAATGATTTGTCAACTCTTGTAGGTAGTTTATACACACAATGTAGATGAGTTATCTTATGTATCCCATTCCATCGAGCGGATTGAATGGGAATGGGATAATTAGAAACTGGATTTTGGTCATTGCAGCACGCTTAAGAAGATTTTTTTTAGAAATTATGGTTTCCATGGTTTTCTTTAGATGCGGTTATGAAAAGTGAAATTAGAGGTCGAAAGATTATTTGTTGTGAAAGTTGATTTCTTTATGAGCTCCTAGAGCTATTAAGATAAGATATTTGTTATCTTTTGCTACATTGCTTGTAAATTTAAGGTGAGTCCATGTTCTTATATGTCCATGAACCAACAGAAGTCTGCGTTTCATTAAGTTTTTGCATCCACTATTCACGAGAGTTTGCAATCTCTTATTGGAATATACAATTTTTGATCCTACGACTGTTGTATTTTGTTGCTTTTCTGTTGGATTTGTGATAATGGAATACAGCTGAGTTGTTGACATTCCATCTGATCAGAATCAAAAAGCTTTTTGTGTGCATCACACTAATTCGGTTTAGGTGTCGTCGTTATCTATTTTTTATGGTTATCTAATTGTGTGCATCGTTCTTCAGTTGTGTTTGCCTCGTGCTAGCTAATTGCATGTTTGATATGTATCTTGGTACAGGTTTGTGAGAGTTAGATAGAAGGTAAGAAATGGAAGATGTACTTACCCAGAATCCTCCACCTTCAAGATTCTTCCAAGAAGATCTGAACAATTTTGTTCCGCCACCCGAAACCCTTCCATCCCCTTTCATCATATTCTCAAACCCAAAACCTGAGCTTCCCCTCCGACCATCTCTACTCATCATAGCCATTTCTTCACCTTCCCTCTATATTTTCCACAATTTACCTTCAAAGACTCTCCTTGGAAGTCTCATCATGCCTGAGGTCCCTTTTTCTGGAAACACCACAGAACCTTCTTTGGAAGACAAATCCTGCAACATATATTCCTTAAGTGACACCAATGATAAAAACTCGATCATCCTCGTCTCTGTTCAGCTTCCTGTATCTCCTGAACGGTCTAACCTGGTCTCGAGATTGCTCATTGGCCAAGACATCATCCCCGAACGGGTTATAATCTTGGATTCCATTCAGAGCCGTAACTTCAGAGGTAAACTTTCACCAGACGAAACATTGGCAGCTAAACTTGAAACATCAGCTGAGAAGAAAGCAACAAGTCACTTGGTGAATCTGGATTACTTCCCATCAGGGAGTGTAATCGACGGTCTGAGTGCTTCACTTTTGAGCCGGTGTCAGCTAAAGAACATGAAAGGAACATTAGTGATCTCATGGCCCGAGTTTGGTCCTTCCGTGATAAGATTTGTCGGAGCTCTGCTGAAGCACATTGTCCCGAGTTTGGATCTTACTAATGTTAACAAAGATCTGGAGAAGAATTCTTCAAGAGCTGGTCTTAAAAAGGATGCTTGGGTCGACTCAGAGTTATATACATGATTCAGTGAGAGAGAAGTTTTCTTAAAAAGTTGTTTCTTGTTTCTATGCTTAGTTGGACAAAACAGAGAAGACCTTAGGTGTGTGCTTGTCTTGTTCTCATTGCAAAACAGTTTTTCAAATTTTAGTCTCGATCTTGTCCACTCTCTCTTACACTGAGATTTTTAATGGCATTGGTTTCAAGAAAACCAAGAAAAAACAAAAACAAAATTGGGATATTTTCTTTATTTTTTATTTTTATAAAAAAGTATTAAAAACTAGAAATTTCTATTTCTAACGTAAGCAGGAGAACGTGCTTTATATAAATAGGAAAACATAAGAGAAGAAAGAGGATTCAAGACACGAAGATTACAATAGGAGAAGAAGCAGAGACATATCATGTGTTTGTTCATAAAGGGCAAGATTGCTTCGTCCTCTTCAAAGAGAGGAAGAAAAAGAAGAAGTGAGTACACAGGAGATGATGATGCACCACGGAAGAGAATTGAACGAGAAAGCAAAAGAAGAAGAGAAGCAGAGGTGAATGAGATACCCAACAACGATGTGTTAGACGAGATACAGTACGAGCATGCACCAGCTTTTGCAAACGGATGGCTTTATTGGTTCAGCAAAGAAAAGACTAATTTGGTTGCTTTTGATCTTCACAAGGAGGTGTTTGAAATAGTACCAAATCCTATTATTGAGGTATCATCCTCATCTGTTGATATGTTTATGGAAAGTGTAGATGATGACAGTCGTCTTGTGTTGATGTCAGAGACAGATGGAGATGGTATGCAACACGTTTGGAGGCTCACTAACCACAACACTGGAGGGACATTATCGATAATGGACAAGATGTTCTCCTTTGACTTGAACAAAATTACTTCCACTTGGTTTGGTTCTCATTACTCTTCCATCCTCAAACTTATGGCACTCTCCAAAAAGACAGGTGACACGATGCTCTCAAGACCCCATTCCCGAAGTTTCCCTCTATCTGAACCCCTAAACTTTAGTACTTTCATTCACAACTGCATCATTCCTAAGTCTCCTCCTCCTCGCATTGACAGTGGTCTTCTTCCTTATTTCCCAAGTTTTATCTCTCCCTTTTGAATTAAATTCAAGTTGTCTTAGTGGAGAGAAAAGAAAACTATATGAGATGAAAATGCACATTTATGTGCTCTTAAAGCCACTTTGTGTTTTGGCATCACATAATGTAATTTAGGTACTTTGTTAAACAACTCTCATTTTTGGTGTAATGCTCTCAACAAGAAGCTCTCAAGTCTCATCTTTCTTGAAGAATCAGTAAATGTAATCGGATAATTTTGTCCGGCATTTAGAATATATATGTCTTTCTGACATCAAAACCTGTACAAGATCGTAGCATACAACAAAATACACAAGTTTATATATGTTTTTGACAAACCCATATATATATTCTCTTGTCATCTTGGACCTGATAACTCCATGGCTTGAACCAGCACAGAGGAATCGTCTGTAAGATCTGAATAACGTTCAGAGGAAGAAAACTCGTTAGGTTTACTATAACTTCTATTGGTCTCTGCTCTCTGAGAAGAAGCTTCCCATTTCTCAACAAGACCATCGCCTTCAAGCATTCTCACAACTTCAGACATCTTGGGACGGTGAACCGGAAGATACTGTGTACAAAGCAAAGCCACTTGAACCATCTCTTCAACTTCGATTCTATCATAGTTGCTCTTCAAATCCTTGTCCACTATCTGTTCTAGCTTCTTCTCTTGTTGTAGTTTCTTTACCTACAAGTAACCCTAGAAGTGAGTGATTTTGACCTAATTGTGTAACAAGAAGATAAATATCTACTATTTTGCTTCTTACCCAATCAAGAATAGCTCCTCTTTGATTTGCTGCTTTTCCAAACTCAAGAGCTCTCAATCCAGTAATCAATTCGAGAAGAAGAATCCCGAAACCGAACACATCTGTCTTCTCTGAAGATTGTCCTGTTGAGAGATACTCAGGTGCAATGTGACCTACTGTTCCTCTCACAGCAGTTGTCACGTGAGACTCCTCATGATCCAAAAGCTTAGCTAGCCCGAAATCTCCGACAACACCTTCACAGTAATCATCAAGAAGTATGTTTGCAGCTTTGACATCACGGTGAATGATCTTCGGATCACATTGCTCGTGCAAATACAGTAACCCTCTTCCTGCTCCTAATGCTATTCGCTTTCTTGTGCCCCAATCCAATACTGGTTTAGCTGCACGAATCATAAACTGTGTCAATACATGTAAAGAAAATGGTATTAGAGGTGTTTATAGTTTACCTTTGAGACGAGAAGCAACACTGCCATTAGACATGTAAGGATAAACTAGAAGCCGTTCAGAGGAAGTAGTACATAAGCCGTAGAGGCGGAGGAGGTTCCGGTGTACCGCTAGGCTTATCATTTCAACCTCAGTCTGAAACTGAATCTCTCCACCGCCATTATTTACATCCTTCAGTCTCTTCACCGCGATGATGGTTCCATCGTGAAGACGACCTTTATACACATTCCCAAACCCTCCTTTACCTACTAGATTCTTGCTGCTGAAGTTACTCGTTGCGGATTGAAGTTCTTTGAAACTAAACCTCCTTAGGTTCCCTAAGCATACTTCTTCCTTGTTTTGCTCTGAAGTAAGTCCAAAATTCACATACACACGTTGGTCTGATTTCGCATTCAATAGTATACAGTTCAAAGATAAAATTAAAGAAACTTACCATTAATGTCAAAGAACAAAACTTGTTTGTTATGTCTTCTTCTCCACCAAAGAAGAAAACCAAAGCCAATGATCAACAAGAAAACACAAGTAAGGCTTAAACCGAAAGCTACCGCGATTTTACGGTTTTTTGTTCCTCCATCAGATGATTTATCTAACCAAACAACAACAACAACAAAAAAAACCATTTTAGCTTTAGATTCTATAGAATTCAATTTTTTTTAAGACTGAAAAATATTTCAGATTTTACTTACTTTGAGAACTGTTCAAGGTGATTGACATTGGCTTAGGTTGAGTCCCATTACAGTCTTTCTCAGTTCCAGTTGGACAAATCTGAGGGTTGCCCATAACACTGCATTACAAGTAAAAAAAAACTGTTACATAAAAAACTATATAGTATATAACTTAGAGTAACGTACAAAAGTGGATAAATCTACAATTACTCTGTTTCTTTCATAAAACAGAGTAAAAACAGAGCAGACAAATATTCTTTCACAGAAATAGACTTACTTGAATGTTTTGGCAAGTGATCTTGGAACTGGTCCACTCAAGTTATTGTACGAAAAATCCCTGAAATAAATAATTACGAATTATATATTAACATTATTATCATACATAGAAGAAAATAATACAAAGTAAAAAAAAAAAAAAAAAATCAAAACACAAAATGATATAAAATAAAAAAGAATAGAGAATGTACAAAAAAGTGAGTTGGGTCATGTTTGCCAATGAGCTAGGAATTGTTCCTGTCAGGCTGTTATTATTAACCCTCCTGCTCCACAATTTTCAATACAAAAACAATTATTTCCATAAATATATATTTTTAAATATATATACATATATATATGAATAAATTGATAAAATCTTACAAGTACTGAAGATTTGTGGAATGAGAAAGAGTGATTGGGATTTGACCAGTGAAGTTATTGGTAGAGAGATCAAGTGTTTTGAGTTTCATCAGTTTCCCAATCTCATGAGGGATATGTCCTGTTATGTAATTGTTCTGCAATAGCCTGTGTGTCCAAAAGATATTATAGTAAATAAGAGATGATGAAACAATGTTTTTGAATTGTTGTAAGAAAACACTTACACAGTCTGAAGATATGTTAAGTTGCTAATACTTGATGAAAGAGTTCCTGATAAGTCCTGACTTGGAGCTCCTCTACATATACAGATAAGTAAAAAAAACCTAGTAAGCATACATATATGTGTGATTTTGTGTGTGTGTGTGTGTGTGTGAGAGTGCTTACAGGATTATGACAAAACCATCAGAAGAGCAAGTGATCATGTTCCAGCTACATGGATCAACTGCTGTATCATCCCAATTCATTAGAACTCCATGAGGATCAATCAGTGAGTTTTTGATTCCTATTAAGGCAAGAACTACAAAAAAGGAAACATGTTTTAGAAAAAGACAGAGAAAGGGAGAAGATTATGTTTTGATGAAATTTACTTACCCTCATAATTTACACCTTTGTCTGTGAGCTCAGCAGAAGTAGAAGAAGAGAGGAAACAGATAAAGAAGAAGAAGAAGAAGAAGTAGGTAGAAGAGAACAAAGCATAACTCTTTATGACTTCTCTTCTTCTCTGCATCATCTTTGTCTTAATCAAAGTTTGTTCTTCTTGCATCAAGACTTGAGATTCTTAATCTCTCCAAGGTGCAGAGTTTTGAGGTTTCTTTCTCTTTTAGTATATGGATATATTCTGTTTCCAATTCCTTGTCTGGAGGTTAATAGGGAAAAAGATGAAACAGAGTTTGGAAGTGTATGTGACTGAGAGTGAAAGAGAGAGATAGAGAAGTAGAGAAAGGGAAAGATTTGTCTGCCAATTATTATCTTATGGTCCTTTAGTGACTGTCAACTCGAAAAGGCCATAGAGAAATTTTTGGTAATGTTGCCTTTGTATTTGTTTCCAACCATGTGAAAAAAAAACATAGTCAGATAAGGTTTTATGTATTTGCCAATATACTTATCAAGTTTTCTATGAAAAAAAAAATCTATATATATAAATTCTATATTTTCTTTTTTTTTTGGCAAAAAAATTGATATTGTAATGCATGAAAATAATGATGAAATATTACAACGTAAGTAAATAAGAAAACAAATATATTATAAATTTGTAAAAGACGTATAATTTGTAACGATGTAAAATAATATTACATATATATATATATATATATTATAATTTAACTGATTTCGGTTTTTAAGAGAAAAAATTACATCGATGTAAACTAACTATTTTAGAAAGAACAATTTACATCAATCTAAAACTAACTATTTTAGGATATTAATAATTCAATTAAAGGATTAACATGAAAATGAATAGTTACATTTTGTAAAATGTTGAATGCTTCATAATCTTTTATTGGTAAATGGACAAATGGTGTGGACTAGTTGACTTACCAACCTCGATTGTTTACAAAAAGGATGATGCTTACCAAATCGAATATGTTCAACAAAAATCAATTTAAATGTTACTCAATACCCTTAATACTTACCCTTTAGTCTTGTTTTTTGTAATTAACATGGTTATCTCCATTAATCTGGTTCTTCTATCTATATCTAGAGGATTTTTATAGACTCAACGTTCTCGGATCTATCTTAGCTAGGACGGCAACAAACGATAAAACAATAAGATTTTGTTTTGGGATAGAAACAAACATTATTATATGATCGTAAAATATTCATATTGGAGGAGCAGGTGAAAAAGTGAATTCATGTGGTAAGCACAGCACCATTAACCTATAAACAAAACTACTTAAGTAAGTAAGTGGCCTCGAACAAATACAGTGTGAAAGGCTCATTTACTCATATTTTTTTTGTATATAAATAAATTAAAAAATCTATTTCAAAAACCAAAAAAGGTGTGAAATTATTTTGATGTAACGCAAAAGTGAAATAAAATGTGAATGAATGATATAAGTAAGTGGGACACTCGTTTGTGACGATGAGAGACACTGTGAGTCTGTGACGATGGAATTATTTTTTCTTTTTCATTTTTTCGTTTTTTAATGAATCGCTTTAATTCTGCTTTTTATTCCCACTAATCACTCTTTACTATTTATTAATATCTTCATCACTATTCATTAATTTTATTACAATTTTGTTCTTCATTTATTCCTATATAAATTCTAAAGTATTCACTGAATTCGTTCTAAAGTATTTTTTTTGTCAACCATATTTTATAAACAGTTTGATTTAAAAATATATAAACCGTATAAAAAAAAACTATAAAGCGTATCATGTTCTATTGCCAAATGGATGGGTTTTTTTTTTTTTTTGGTTATGTCAAATGAATATTTTAAGTGATGGAATATTATGAGACACTTTAACCAAAAAAAAAGATTAGCAGGGTTAAGAATTATTAAGAAAATAATGAGATGAATAACACATATGATCGAAATGAAGATAAAATGAGAAAAGTCCAAAACTCGAAATGCCAAAAGAAGAACCAATGATTGACAGCTTAAAATTTGGTCCAACATTAAAGAGAAATATTAGAAGAAAAAAAATAAAATATATGAAAATAACTTACTTAATGACATAATAGTTAATAGTTTTACTTTAGAAAATATCATTTACTATGGTTTCTTTAAGATAATATAACACTTATATCGGTGTGTGTATTTTGATTATTTTACATGAGTCTAGCTTAAACTCACTAGTTACTACTTACTACTACACAATGAAAAGTTGAAGTTGAGCCAAAAAAAAAAATGATTGATAAGTAAATTATTGAAGGGAGCAACTAATCCAATATTCCAAGCTCAACAATGATTTAATTAATTAGATAAAAGAGAGAAAGTATAAACTTTAAATTAATTAAAAACACTAAAAATCAAATCTTTGGATCTAAACACACAGTAATAGTCAACAGACAAATGCCACTTTTGAAAGCACAAAAGCAAAGTCTGCTTTATAAAGCAAAAGCTGTTCTCCTCTCTTATCTTTCATCATTACACTAATTTCTCAGTGCATTTCACTGATTTCACTTACAATTATTATTTTGTTGCGATAATGTTTTGCAAAGAAAAAAAGAAAAAAAAAAAACTGAAAAGACGAACATGTAATATGTCATGATTTGTATGTCGTGTGCATGGATACATATATACACGTGTGATATACACTATTCTCTTCTGTTTTAGCATTACCAAAATGTTCATTTTCTTCTTCTTCATCATCAGTTTCTTTGACTATACATCACATAAACTTGCAACCGCATTGTAACATTTTGTGTTTGAATTTTTGTTTATGGATATAAGTTTGAATCTCTGACAGTTAAAAAACACACACACTAGTGACTGATTGGTATTAGTTATGATTGGTTGATTATATTGTTGTAGTTATGTGGTCTAGGGTTTGAAATCTAATGATGAAAAATAGTATCATTATAAAGTTTTTTTCTTACGTGAAAATGGTTAGTACTATATAAAGTATGTTCTTGTTTATGTCATGTCATCCCTCATTGTGTCCTAATTTTTCTACCAAATGAGATGAAACATGAAATAATTTATGGTTTCATCTATAGCATAAGCAAAAGGAAAAAAACAAAAAAAGAATTGCGTATGAGAACACTAATAATTTCTTATAATATTTGTATTCTTATTTCTTTTATTTGAAAAAGAAAGATATATATTCGTAATATATATCTTAAGAATTGATTCGTGACATTGTAAAGGACGTTGAGGTGTTGTTGCAATTGTAATCTAGTTCTTGGATATGTCTGGTTTTTAATTATATATAGCATTGTAAGTAAAATAAAACTCAAATAACCTTACAAATTATCTATAAACGATTGAATTATTTGTACGTTTTATTGAGAGAGATGTAAAAAAGTAAAACCCCACTTGTGTCTCTTCAATCATATAATGTTCTTCACTTGTTGTTCATTTCATTACACTCACCTTTTTTGTTACCCTACCTTTATTTGCTTATGATATATAATCAATGAACCTGATCTTGCATGTAGCTGTTGGGAAAACATCCGGTGAATAGATATCTCTTGACCACTCTTAGATATCTTATTAGCATAAACCATTGAGAGACCAAACCAAGTGCTTTTTGATGTTAATCCTAGCGTAGACAGTTGAGTGAGTACCATTCATACGCATTGTAGCTGGACTTGTTAGTGTTTTGGTATATATGACTAAGCAATAAGTTATGTCGACCAAGAGCCATAAGCTAGTTTTGGTTTCAGATTGCCTCAATTGTAACCAACACAAGAGGAAGAAAGAAAAAATCAAGAAAAGGTAGAATAAGTTCGTCTCTAAAAGTTGGATGCACGAAAGCAATTAGGACAACTCAATACAACCTCAAATTTATTTTTCTTGATTTTGTTTTATATAGTGCTTATATTTGATGGTTACATATTTTAGACTATGATTAGTACTTGTTTAATATGTTAATAGACTAAAGATTCAACTTGGTTTAAACATACTGTTTAGTACAACGGTAATTTGTACTTGGTGGGTTTGGATTAGACTATAATTAGTAGTCAACAAAACTATTCGTTCAATTAACGTAATGACTCTTAAACTAGAAAAAAAAAAATTAGGCCCAAAATAAATAATTTTACGTTCAAGAAAAATGATCAAGATTTGTAAAACACTATTGGACCAAGTAGAAAGGGTATTCGAACTTTAAATTTCAATGAAAATTGAAAACATTGTGATTTATTTTAAAAAGATGTAGAAACAAAACAAAAAAAAAGACCAAAGTTTAATTCACATCCGATTACAATTTTTAAAAAATATATATATTGAGAGAAAGAAAAAACCACAGAACAAACCAAAAGACTATTTCATATTATCGACATTTAAAATGGCCCCCCTAAAGATCCTTCAGGTTAATAGAAAATGAAACTGATGCATGCATCAAATATATTTCAGTGTCATATCATTGATAAAAGTTGTGTCTGCCCAAAACCAATTCGACATATAAACTTTAGTATGATTGTATTACTCAAAATCAAGAAATGTCATTTTCTTTTACTTTGTGTATACATCAACTACCATCTTGTCACTAAACTTCATAATTGATATATTGAGCAATAGATGGCATCTTTCTTAAATATTAAAAACTAAAAGCCCACAAGACTAAAAGATATATTCAAAGCTCAAACACAACAAAGCATTTAACTTATTAACTTCCTGGTGCAGCAACCAGAGAACATAACAATTACAAACTTTAAAACACACAAACATAGACAAGAACTGCTTTCATCAGAACGCATAACATGTTCTATCTTATTTCAAAAAAAATAATACAAAAGATCCTTAGAAAGATAAGCTGCAAAGCCAGAGATAGATGATCATAGATCACTCTTCTTCTTTAACAACTTCTTCCTCTTTCCAACAGAACCCAAGAGTAGATTTTGGTGAGCCAGGTTCAATAGTCTTGACAAATTTCTGGTAAAGAACAGAACCTCCAAGTCCAAGCTCCTCTAGTCCTCTCTCTTGTCTCAAGTATCCCTTCGTATCAACTACACAATCACTCGCCACTAGCTCGGTTCCAAGATTAGCATGCACCGCTAATGAGAATTCTTTTGGTCCAAAACAAACCAGAACCCTATCCACCAACTCCTTAAAGTTCAAAGCTTTTAGATCATACCCAACTGTTTCAAAGCTTGCATAGCTAAAACCATCTCCCGGGGTCACGTGGATGGTGGAAACCGCATCTTCTTCAATTGAATTCATCGAATAACCGCACGGTTCAAAGTCAAAATCACAGATTTCAGAGTCAGTAAGGATGTTTCTAATCCCTGAGGTAACAGTCATCTCAGAAGCTGAAACTGAATTTTTTTTTAAGAACACCAAAGCTTTCTTCTTGTCTAGACCAGTCATGCACATCTCCAATGTGTACACAGGTTTGTCACAAACCAAAGCAGATTCATAAGCAGCGGAAGCAGAGTAGACATGCCATCCATGAGTGTTATTGTTATCTGACCCTCCCATCACAAAAGCTTTGCTTCCTGCGTTGAGCTTACCAAAATAGCCATCAAGTAAAGCAACTTCCTCAGAGAAGCTACGGTGAGGGTAAGATTGTGCTCCCGGGAAGATAAAACTACCACGAGTGTAGCGAACAGATTTGACTGTAATAGAAAGAGACTCAGCCAGCCTAAGGATGTGCGGGATAGAAAAGAGAAGCTTTGTAGTCCCACATGTTTTGATGATGATCTTGTAAGGATAGACAAAGAGACTAGACTCAGAGAGAACGTAAGAGTCGACTAAAGAGTTTGAAAGCGATGAAACAATCGTGCACTCAGCTGGAGTCAAGATCTCATCTAACTGAGATTTAGTAAGAGCACGAAGACCCTTTCCCTCAGGATCAAGAAAGACACTAGGCTCAAAGAATGAAATTTCGAGCCTTTTCTCAAATCCTTCGAAACCGATAGCAGAGATTGCCATTTTTCAAGAACACGAATGTAAAGAGGAAGAATATACTGTCGAAGAATGAGATTTGAAAGATAACAAGAAATAGGAAAGATCGCACAAGCTAGAAGAACGATGATCAACCACAGTTATGAAGTGGTTAGGAGGAAAACGAATTGAGCAATTTCAGGATGGTTTGCGAGTGATCTGCATAAGAAAAAACCAAACAAACAAGCAAATACATATGAGTTAAACTTGTATAAGAATCAATACAACATCTTCTTCTTCAAGTCCAGACATTGAAAACAGAGAAGTAAACTCACGTTTGAGTAAGCAGCAGATCTGAATTTCTTAATACCACCGTTTGGTCGAACGTCTTCAATGATGTATCCAAGAGGAGCTTCGTAGAAAAGATTGCTACTACTACTACTACTACTACTACTAGAGTTCTCTGTACCACCTTCAGTCTCCATATCTCATTCACCTGTCAATGAATCATGTAAAGAAGAGAGCAAATTAAAAACCAGAACTTTGTTTCAGAGTAAGGCCAAACTCAGATCGAAACAATTTCAAAGGCCTCAAAACTCTAAAACGAGACTAAATCATATCGAAAGGATCAGACTTGCTTTCATAAGTAATCAAATTCTAACAAAAACCCTAATAAAAATCTGAATCGAAGCATAAAGGTGGAACCTTTAGAATCATTTGAACAAACCCTAAACTCAAAAAAGGCGATTCATAGAAGAAAGATACTTACAATTCAAGAAAAGATTTGTTTTAAGTTAACAAACCAACCAATCTGATCAAACCCTTAAGAGCCAATAAATCCTTGAAACCTGTAAACGACGATACAAACACACAGACAACAGCATAAGTAACCATCGAACTCGAGAGAATTAGAAATCAAAAGAAACAATAAACAGAGATTTACCCAAATTAGATCGAAACAAGAAGCAAAAATTTGTCTTTTTCGAAGTAAGAGATTTTGTGAGTACGGAACAAAGGGGTTTTGAATTTATAGTCAAAGGCTTTTGGTATGAAATTATATATTTACCCCTGAAGGATGGCGACGATTTAAATTTAATGTAACGTAAATCTTCCGTATAAACGTTACATTGCCAAAGTAAGAGAAAATTCATTTACGCAATAAATATGGATTTTTATATTTAATTATTTTTCTTAAATGGAAACCAAATACTATATGATATATCTAATGTCAAATTATTATTTTCAATAATTATGGATTTTTTTTTTATTATATGATATAAAATGTAATGGTGATGCATCGTGTACATTTATGTTTGTGCAGCTTATTAAAATCAATTTTATGAGTTTATTGGCTCCATCGATGATATATATAATCCAAGGATATATATATCAATTTTATGAGTCTATTGGCTAATAATTTCACGAACCAAGGATATGTATGTACCAAACAAGATTTATCATGGGTTATTTGATTTACTATTTATTTATTTCGTTAACTTAATCTATATCCTCAAATTTACAGAAAGCCCATGACTCATAAATAGTTTGTGAGGAAGTGCGTATCTCACGAATTTAGTTTTGGCTAAAAATGCTAAGTTTTCATTTTTTACATTTTTAAGAGTTAATATTAATTTTGTTATAAAAAACTTGGTTTCAAAATTAGCTATGTATTAACAGAATAATGATATATATATACATGTCAAATATATTAATTAGATGTTGACATGTGTCTTAAAGTTAGTTTTTTTTTAACTTAGTAAAAAAACTAATTAAGAAAAAATAGAATATCTACAGATAAAAATTACATGTTTATGTCTACATCTAAATTTTTTCATTCTCCTAAAAATATAACAACCCCAAATATATACCAAAATCAAACTTTATGTAATAAGAAATTGGAATACAATAATGTCTTTTAAATAATTTAAAAACTGTGTGTTTTTTGTGTAATTAGTTTTTTTTTCTCTCTCTTAGGAATGAATCAAAATACAATAATGTGTTACTCATTCTATGTAATTAGTTTGTAAAGTATCAAAATGATCAAAATTACAACTTATATCAAAATATAATAATGGAGATTAACTCAATGCTTATACCAAAATGATCAATGCTTATACTAACTACAAACCCTTAAAAATGCTACCTTTATGCAAAAGCAACACATTTCAGCATTACAAACCATCAAGAGACAAAAAATAATTCAAACTTAAAAAAAAAAACTCTAAATCTATTATACCTAGACATGAATCAAGACCTAAACAAAAAAAAAATTGAATATTTAAGCTCAGAATATCCAGATAATCCAAACTTATTCACAATAAATTATTCAAACAATTATACCAAAAAAAAGTTGAAAACTTTCTTTTTTACTTCGCTCATCTACCGTCACTTCTTTGATTTTCTTATCTCGTCTAGGTAGACAACCTTGTACCCCAAAAACGTCAACCCAATTAGCCAAGCGGGTGTTAGCTTTGCAAACAATTGCAGTCTCTCGAATATAAAACAATAATTATGAACTTTCTTTAAAGAAAAAAGGATTCTATTTTGTTAAGCTAACTAATATATAGTTTCACATCATTTAACTATATATTGGTTAATATTTAAAATTAACAAAAAAAATTAGTAAAATAATAAATAACATCAACAAAAATTTGGGGAAAAATATAAAATCTATATTTATGATAAAACTACACATATATATATATATATATATATGAATTTTTGCATATACAATATAAGAAATCTCAAAAATATTTTATATTATAGTACTAAATATATATATATACTGAAAAGATTCCAGCATTCCAGTTAGAAAGAAAAAAATGAAAACAACTATAAGAAAATACATATTGAAGACTTTTTTTCAGATAATATCATTGCAATTAAACAGGTGAAAAGATTCCAGTATTCCACATAGAGAAATTAAAGAGCTTCTTATTTTTTGTTTTTTGTACGGAAATAATAAAGCAAAAGCCTATGTCATAAGTAGAAGGGATTTAACACCGATCGAAAAAAACTGCAAGGAAAAAAAAAGGGAAAATCCAGTAAAATCAATCCAAAATAAATTAAAGTTGTGTTTTTCCAATGTTAATTAGTTCATAATATAATTGTAAAGCACGTAACATGAAAGTTATCACGTTTTAATATGTTAAAAATTAGACCAAAAAGTATAATTACCATTCGAGAATGTGTGATCTCCAAGTTTTAGTTAGGGTTTTTTTGTTTGAGTAACCTCCAAGTTATAAGACTTTGTATAAAAAGCATAGCTTCGTTCATATTGTTTCAAAACTTACGAGCAAGTTTGAAGTTTCTATTCATCAAATTCTTATATCGGATCTCTCTCTCTCTCAATCTCAATCTCAATCATCATGATGAAACAGTACTTGTCCAAGGCCACCGAGTTCTTGAACACTCCAGTGAGCAGAGCTGGCGCTCTTGGTACAGCAGCCATCGCACTTGCGGTTGCGAAGCGTGACTATCTCATGGAGTTAGCAACGAAGAAGAAGACGGAGAACAACCCTAAGGAGGTAACGACGGCGTTGAAGGAGAACGTGGACGTTAAGGTGGAGAAGAATGAACAGTCGAACACTGAATCTAAGGAGAAGTCGGAGACGACGACCTTGAAGGAGAACGCTGTTCAATAGATCCTTAATTTTGGTGTTTAATTTTTTTTTATAGTTTTGATCAGTTTGTGTTTTTCTTTTTCTTAACATCGGGTGCTAATGATGTTTAGTTTCTTAACTTTTATTAATAACTCGTTTTTTTAAGAAGTTTTTTTCTTTGTTTTTGATTCTAAACAATGAGACAAATCAACAAAAAGTGTTAGAGACTACTCAACAAAAAGTATCTCGACGATTCTATTTGAGAATTTTGAGAGTTATGCGATTATACGAATGTTAATGGATGTTTTAGGGTTTCAGGAAGGGTTTTACTGGTTTATATACATCAATTTACGGATGTTTTATAACCAAGAACAGAACCGGAAAACAACTTTAACGAGATCTTGGAATGATTACTACAAGAACATGTTGGAAGAAGAAGAACAAGAGATGCTATGCTATGATCACACCTTGTTCTGGAACCGGGATGTAAACCGTTTCTAAATTAAACCGGTTGTAGATTAAACCGGACTCTGACGCTTCTTTTGAAGACTCTCTTCCAGCTGGAGACTTCGTTGTGAATTATCTATTTTTAAAATTATAAGGAAAAAATAACCTAAAAGATCGAAAATAGAGATCTATAGTATTGCTTCATCGTCTTCGCTATCAATTCGAATCTCAAATCTGCAACTCGCGAGAAGAAGCTTTTGTAACAATGGAGAATCCAATTCAAGAGGTAATGAATCGTTCCCTATTTTGGATTTTATCATTTTTTTTTCCTGTAATTTTTGGGTGTTTTTTTTTTTGTTTGTTTCTGTGATGGATGAATGAAGATACTGGAGAAACAAGTTATGACGGTAGCGAAAGCTATGGAAGATAAGCTAGACGACGAGATCGCGTCTTTAGAAAAGCTAGACGAAGACGATCTGGAAGTTTTGAGAGAGAGAAGGTTGAAGCAGATGAAGAAAATGGCGGAGAAGAAGAAGCGTTGGATGAGTCTTGGGCATGGTGAATACTCTGAGATTCATTCTGAGAAAGACTTCTTCACCGTCGTTAAAGCTAGTGAACGCGTCGTTTGTCACTTCTACCGTGAGAATTGGCCTTGTAAAGTAAAAATTCACATTCTTGCTTTCAACATTTTCTCAAATTTGTTTGATTTGATTGTTTATGGTTTTTGGGTATATGTTTGTTTCTAGACCTGATTTAGTATTAGATTTAAGTTTTTGGATTTGTGTGCATTGCTTGCTTGATTCTTCTTCCCTGTGATCTATAAGTTTCTTTAGAGCTTGCGAGGGATTAGTGAGTAACAATGTTGCTGTTTTTTGTTGCTGGGTTTCGAAAAGTTTGACATTTGTTTGTTTGATTGTATCTGGTTTATGCTTGAGATTTTTGTTCATAGCCACTATATCTGTTTTAGTATCAGGTTTATATATGCCTTTTGGAATTGTCTCCATTACCTGATCATTCCCTGTGATCTCTGAGAATCTTTAGAGCTTGGTAGTGATTAATAAACAATGATGCTGGAGATTGTTGCTTCTTGGATTTGTAAGTCTGTCACTTGTTGGTTTGATTGTTTTTGGTTTTCGAAAATAGCGTTTATGGTGCTTTTTCCCCATAGCTACTATACCTGTTTTAGCATAAGATTTAAGTTTATATATGCCTTGTGGGTTCCTCTGCATTGCCTGGTTCTTCCCTGTGATCTCTTGAGTTTCTTTAGAGCTTGGATGTGGTGTAATAATAACTAAGAATGCTCTTGATAAATGATGTACTAATGACAATCCTTATGGTTTTGATAAGAGATGTTAGGCAGAGAACCAAAAATGATGCTACCTGTGCGTAGCCACTAGACCTTATTTAGCATAATGTTGAAGTTTATACTTTTTGGGTTTTTTCTGCATTATCTGATTCTTCCTGGTGATTTCTGAGTTTCTTAGAGCTTTGGAAGTGATATAGGAATATTGCTCTTTTGTATTTGTTTCTATGAATATTATTGCTGTCGAGTTTCAAGACTTTTTTGCTGCTGGTCTTAGCCTTTCTTCAAAAAGTAATTAGTTGTTTTTTTGTTGTTGTTTCTGGCCTTGATAAGAGATGTTAGGACAGACATGGTGCTTCTTTTCTATAGCCACTTGACCTGTTGTAGCTTAAGCTTAGCGGAAATCTTTCTGCATACCTTGTGAATTAGTTTGCACGACCTGATCTTTCCTGTGATCTCTGAGTTTTTTCAGAGCTTGGCAATGATGTATTAATAACTAACAATGCACTTGTGTACTTACTTGTGTCTGTGAAGATGATTCACTGTATTGTTTTTTTTTGGGATGATTGATCTATTAACGGAAAATATTTGTGCAGGTGATGGATAAACACATGAGTATATTGGCAAAGCAGCACATTGAGACACGCTTTGTGAAGATCCAAGCTGAGAAAAGTCCATTCTTAGCCGAGAGACTCAAGATTGTTGTTCTTCCCACTCTTGCCCTCATTAAGAACACAAAAGTGGATGATTATGTGGTAATAATAATACTAATGCTTAAAACAAGGACATCTTATTAATCTCGTAGAATGTGGTTGTATGGATGATACATACAATGTTGTTGTTGTTGATGATAGGTTGGGTTCAATGAGCTGGGAGGGAAAGATGATTTCAGTACAGAGGATTTGGAAGAGCGAATAGCTAGAGCGCAAGTGATCCATTACGAGGGTGAGTCATCTCATAAACCAAAGTCTACAACACAAGTCAGAAGGAACGTGAGGCAAAGTGCTCGTTCAGACTCTGACTCCGAATAAATCACAAGTTTTTTTTAACAAAGGTTTGTTCGTTTTGTAGCATGTGGTCATTGGTAATACTAAGTAGTTATCCATCGTTTTGATGATCTAAAGTGGATGTTGTTCGTTAGATTGAGGGAGCACGCAATATCTAAATTACATTACTAAATTTGATGTTTTACGTGGATCTAGTGAACTAGATGTTGTTCCTAGTGAGTGTTGGAATGAAGAGAAAAGGGGTCTAAATTTTGATAATATGTAAACCATAAACACCCAAAAACTCGCGAAACAAAAGGGGACAAGAAATCTACGATGCATCATCGAGCATCAGTCTTTTCCATTCCATATCAACCGTATAACTTCTTTACTCTCTCATGAATTTACAGTTGTGTTTCAGTGAGATTGCGAGATGGTTTTGTTCCTATTGTATCGGTTTTATAGTGAAGCAGAATGAGAAACAGAGTAATTGAGTAAGAGATACATAGTAGATAGTAAGAGAGTGACACCGAGTTTTATAAGTTCGAATGTCATCTCTATCTCTAGAAACACTTCACGTTGTCGTCCCATTCTTCACTCAAGGCTACAAACTGAGTTTATAAAATGTGTTTTAACACTAAGTAGAAACCTTAGGAGCTTGTTATTAACCTTTGAATACCCTCTTCCTCATCTGGTGTCTTCTTCTTCATTTCTCTATAAGTATGAAACCTTCCGAGAGAATGTTTCATGAACCTAAGAGAAGTCAACAAATGAAACTATAGAAGATCACGCTAAGGTTAGTTTATTATTAATGTTCACTAAGCTCATTGAATGATGGTTGCATACTTGCATTAGATTCTCTTAAACTTGGGAGAACAATAATATAGGACACGTGAGATCATCTTGCTCAACTTGCTTACACTTATAACATTAAAGTAAAGACTCCAACATACATATCTATTAGTATTTTTAGACAAGAATCCAAATTGATGATGGCGAAACTTCTTGGTTTCATCGATATCTTTGTTTTAAAAAAAATATGTACAAAAACAAATATCCCGATTTCGATCAAACTACAATAATGTCGCAAAAACTATTATTAAACTTTTTTATAAGATCTTTAAAAATACAAGTCATGGATGGGTCATGATCGTGTTATATAATACTTGAAAAAGTAATAATTTGTGGACATCATATAAGATATCAACTTTGATTTTATCTACAAATATAAAATGTAGATGCCATATTCCTTTAAATGGGGAAAAAGGGTGATGCCAAAACAAAAAAAAAATTAATAGAAGAAAGAATATGATTCTTTGAACTTTTCAAATGTAGAAAGAAAAAAAAAACTATAGAACAACCTGTCTCTTTTTCTAATTGTAATTTTAAAAAGATTGAATAGGCAATATTAATTTTTATTTATACTAGTCGGTTGTCCGCGCTACGCGCGGGAATTTTATTATCTTGTTTATGAGTAATTAGTTCGTATTTCCTACGTTTTTTCACTATAGCATACTTTATTTTTTAATTTTAGATTGCGTTTGTATAGAAAACTTGTTGAGTTTTAGCTTTATTATTAGTTGAGAAATTAAATGTGTATAGTATATGTCGATGTATAGGTGTAAACGGATGTGCGGTGGAAAATCATAGAGAAACATGTGTTATTAAGATTCCCACCAAAATATAGATTTAAATGTTAATATTGTGGGCCCTTTTAATATGTTGTCCGAACGTCGAAAATGATTTGTGGGTTTCGGGCGGATTGTTGTATTTTTTATTGGTTACATTATCTCTTTATATATTGTCATAATTTAATTTTTTATTTTACGTTTTTCTTTTTTCGATTTGATGTAATTGATATCTCATAATGATCATTTTTATACTATTATATATTTGTTTCTGATTTTCTGTTTTATATATTTTCGTATTTTCATATGGAGCAATTTTAAAATTTACTTTATATTTTGTAAGACATAAATTAGATAGATTTTTATTCTCAAAATTTCTTACTTTTGTTCTATTCCCGTTAAATCCCATTATAATTTAGGTTTTTATATTGTGTAAATATAATCAAATCTTGTGTCATATTATTTTTAATCGATATATATATATATATATATTTATTATAAGACATTCACTTAAAAACTATAATCTATTATTTATATATTAGTTAGTATAATCAATAATTAGTAAGATTTATATTTTTTAATCAATTATCTTTTTTAGTTTTAAATATAAAATATAAGAAAAGACCTTTCATATCCTTTTTTAGAAAAGTTATTTGCATATGTTTAAATCTTAAAATTATATGATAAAGTGGTATTATTAATTTTTAAAATTAAATGGATGATAATTAGGATGATGAGGTGGCTTAAGGAGAAGAGAGAAAAAGCTAACTTTATATATATAGATTATGATAATCAAAGTTGTTATGGTATGTATTTTATTTAGTTTTTGCACGCTTTCTTGTTATGTGGTTTCTCTCAGTCTCCATCGCATAGGACACGTGTTCGGTAATAGAGACCAATATATCAAATAAGTTACTCTAAATAGTATATCTCTATATAGAGAGTATTTCAAAATATTTGACTAATTCAATCATAAAAATATAACCAAAAGTTTCTAACCAAGAGGACATACCACTTTAACTTTGAAATAACGATAAAATACAAATAGTAAATAAATAAATCACTGATTAATTCTCCAATTATACTAATAAGCTTAGGGCATCCTCATTAGTAGGATTTAAAGGGTATCTTAAGGTAAGATTTCCATTTTGTTACAAGATATTTACTTAAGGAAATCTTACCTTAAGATACCCTTTAAATCCTACTAATGAGGTTAGTCTTAGTCTCTACTATTTGTAAATTATGTGCACTGTATATACTATATTAGCAATAGTAAGATATATTTGAAAACTATTTCAAACTCAAGAATTAGCAATATCATGTCGTGATATTTGCAAAGTATTTCAAACTCAAAATTGTTTTTGCGGTTGAATAATTTCTAATTATGTATTCAAAACAAACCATTAACATTTAAATTTTCACGTCTTGAACTCATGCACATTTATCGACGTCCAGATGAAAAATTCAACTATTATATACAAGGCTAGATTACAAAAATTACATATGAATGTAATTTAACAATTTGGGAAGTTGATCATGAAGATTTTTGGTTAGGCAAGTCTGCATTGTCCATTGAAGACATAGATAATGGAGACATACCACTAGTATGAAAAGCTTAAACTATTGTTGGTTTTCCTGAAAATACTATATATATATATAGCTTTTCAATCATAATAATAAGCTTAACCTCTACTATTTGTGAAATATGTGCACCTCATACACAATATTAGCAATATTATGATCTACTTGAAAACTATTCTAAATTCACGTATTAACAATATCACGATTTACTGGCTAACTATTTCAAACTCAAAATTGTTTTGCCGTTGAATAGTTTCTAATTATGTATTGAAAACAACCATAAATATTTAAAATTTTCATTTTTCATGATATTGACTAGTTTTTAATTGTGTATTCAAATATATATGAATCTTTCAAATATCCACAAAATTGATGTAACATATATGAATCTTTCAAATATCCACAAAATTGATGTAACATAAACTACCAATATATTTTTTTTTCTTTGTCAATTGTTTTAAATAACTTTTTATAAAATAAAGCACGGTAGAATCAAACATATAAGATTTCTTCATCTTCTTGGTCATTACATATGGAAAAATGCACAACCAACTTTAGACATATTTCACCGCATGTTTACTGTCAAGATGCTTTTTTAAAATTGATAGCGTGATTTTGTCCAATAATCGTTCGATGTTTGTTTTACTTTTAGGTCCGATTCCAATAATTTTCTTTTTTACAAAAATATCAAATATGATTTCTTCGTAACCACTTCAATGTTGGCTTTAAATATAACAAAATAATATTCATCATATCTTCTTAGCAACTTCAACATTAGTTTTTAGCATAAAGATGTTTTAAGACTGAAGTTCATATATATGAATTTATAAGAAAAATAATCATAATTTTTATATTTTTCTAATGTTTTTAGTCTAATCGAACAAACATTAATCATATTTTATATATTTTTAAAAAAAAATCTAACTGAGATCATAGTAACATCGAGCTAAATAAAACTACAAATGGTTTTACCTTGTTTCAATTTCTAAAAAACAAAAACCATAAATCTAACTTTACTATATAATTTGGTGATTCTCTACTTTAAATAAAACAAATATTAATATCGGCGGAAAAAACAACTATTACTTTACAAAATACAAAAATTTGAAAAATAAAGAGACTTAAAAATGGAAAACAATTAAAAACTAAAGATCGTTACAGATACGCAAAGCCCTCCTTTCCACTCTCGTCCCGCTTCGCCTCTTTTAGGTCGCAACGAAGAGAGAGAGAAAGAGAAAGAGAAGACAAAACAGAGAAACAATAACCACAGCTCTGTTTCTCTCTCTCTCTCTAAATCACTTGATTCTTCTCTCTGATTCTTGCCTCCTCAACGTCTGTCATCGTCGACTTTGTAGCATCTCGCCATCACCAAAGCGTCGTAAGTTCTCTTCTTCTATTTACCTCATTCGTCTTCAAAATCTCAGATCGAATCTGCTCCTCATTTACTGGAATCGTACGAACACTAGTTTCTTTAAACAAAGCCTTATCCTTTCTCCAAGTTCAATATGAACAAGCTATTCCAATTTTTTTTTGTTTCTTGTTGTAAAAATCTTGCCTTTTTCAGATGGGTCATGTGGATTTCGTGGTTATTGCTTTAGGGTGTTTGAAAAGTATTCGTTTTTACATAAAAAGATCCAACCTTTAAGGACATTTTTTGTTTGTTTGTTGTCTTTGATCTTTTCACAGGTTGATTTGAGAGAGACCCAATTTGGATTCAGAATTGTAATTTTGATATAAGATGGGTTACATAGGAGCTCATGGTGTAGCTGCTCTTAAGAAACACAAATACAGTGGTGTTGATCATTCATATCTTGCCAAATACGTTCTCCAACCTTTTTGGAACCGTTTTGTCAAAATCTTCCCTCTATGGATGCCGTAAGTATCCCTCCTTTACATTGATGTGCTCTGTAGATATTGATTTTAGTTGTTTAGAGATCTGAGGCTAACGTTTTCCTTCTTCTTCTTCATGTGTTCCCTTTTGGAATCCATATCCAGACCAAACATGGTATAAGTGAATCCTATATTTCACATTTAAAGTTGGAATCTGGTAACAAAAGAGGTGATAATAACACTTGTAGTGTGTGTGTGTGTTTCTTGTTCTGTAGATAACACTTATGGGGTTCATGTTTCTTCTCACATCTGCTCTGTTAGGCTATGTGAGTTTGGTTTGATTTTCTTATTCTTTATTTTCTTGAAGTTTCTGGTTACTTTGCTCATAAGGATCTCTTCAAATTGTGTTTTAGATATACTCGCCTAAGTTGGATTCTCCTCCTCCTCGATGGGTTCACTTCGCACATGGCTTACTTCTGTTTTTGTATCAGGTCTGCATCTTTCTCTTTAACATCCCACTTCTATCTGCTTTTAAGGGTCATGTAAACTGTTTTCCTGACATATTTTGAGTACTTACGGTTGGATTTTAGACATTTGATGCGGTTGATGGGAAGCAAGCACGAAGAACAAATTCCTCTAGCCCGCTAGGAGAGCTTTTTGACCATGGTTGCGATGCACTTGGTTGTGCGTTAGAAACAATGGCATATGGTAGCACTGCTATGTGTGGAAGAGATACTTTCTGGTTTTGGGTTATTTCAGCTGTTCCATTTTTTGGAGCAACATGGGAACAGTAAGTGTTTTTATTTCAAGTTTAACTAAAAACGTGGGAGCACTGCTAAATTCTAATACTTTGCTTTCTTGCTCTTTTGTGTTTAGCTATTTCACCAATACCCTTACTCTTCCAGTAGTCAATGGTCCTACAGAAGGTCTTGCACTTATATACTGTGGCCATTTCTTCACAGCCATTGTTGGTAAGCTTCAACAATCTAAGAAATCTCTATCACTAACAATTATTCTTCAATCTCTCATACTTTTTTTTTCAATCTCAAGGTGCCGAGTGGTGGGCTCAGCCGTTTGGGAAGTCGATTCCTTTGTTTAGTTGGGTTCCATTTTTGAACGGTAAAATTCCACAGACTTTTTGTGTGTTTTTGTTGGTTTCTACTAAATTTTCTCCTGAGAAGTTTGTTTAATGCCATTGGAACTTTTCTCGGTTCTTTCCAGAGATGCAAATGTCCAGAATAATCTTATTCACGATGATTTTCTTTGCCGTTATACCAACCCTTGCAATCAAGTGAGTTTTCCACAATTCATTGGACTTGTGGTCTTTTTGAGCTGATAACATTGCTAACTTTTTCTTCGCATTGCTCTGCTCATACGCACACTGCTTCATTCTACAGCGCGTCTAATGTTTACAACGTTGTACAGTCAAGAAATGGAAGCATGCTTCTAGCATTAGCTATGGTATAGTCTCCTGAAACCAAATTTTTTATTCAGTTACTTATATTTTCTTTCTTGACTAACATATGTAACGCCAATATTTTGTCTGTATTCAGCTATATCCCTTAGTCACCTTAATTGCAGGAGTATTGATTTGGTATGTCTTCTTTTAGATAAAATTTTGTGCTTTTAACTTGCTCTCATTTACACATTGAGACTTATCAGTATTCTTGTCTTAATCAGGGATTACTTGTCTCCAATTGATCTCATCAGAAACTATCCTCACTTAGTTGTAATGGGAACTGGTCTTGCATTTGGATTCCTTGTGGTAAGCAAATTCTGGTTTCGAAATCTGTATTTTTAACGTTATAAATGGAATCGAAAAGCTGAATGTTTTGGTTACGGGTTATGGTTTCAGGGAAGAATGATTCTAGCTCACTTATGTGATGAACCAAAAGGATTAAAAACAAACATGTGTATGGTAAGAATCCAAGAACTTTCTTCTCAGTTTGTAAAATTCTTTCTTGGTAGTCCGCATTAACCTTCTTATCTCTTTCACAGTCACTGCTTTACCTTCCCTTTGCACTAGCAAATGCTCTAACTGCTAGACTCAACGACGGGTAATGTTTTGTTCTTTCTCTTTTTTTGGTTTTCGCAGTGTCATTTTCCATCAGACTTGTATAAGATTCTATTAATCTCTTCTCAGGGTTGCTCTTGTGGACGAGTTTTGGGTTCTTCTTGGTTATTGTATCTTCACATTGTCGCTATATGGGCATTTTGCAACTTCAGTGATTCATGAGATCACAACTGCACTTGGAATCTACTGCTTCAGGTTTAGGATAAAGCATTCTCTCTTTTGTACCTTTTTTTTTGTTTGTTTGTAGTTTTGCAAAAATTTGACAAGTCTAATTTTCTTTTTCATCAGGATTACTCGTAAAGAAGCTTGAAGACAAAACAATGTGATTAAAAGAAAAGAAAAAAAAACAAATCTTAAGGTTTTAACTTTCTTCAAGAACTCATTGGGTTTGTGTTTATTTCTTGATCTGTATTTTAACATTTTGCATTTTTTCTTCTTACAGGGAGAAGAAATGCAAATCCCAACACAAGTTTGAATGTTTTGCTACTGCAACTAAAACGATTGATCGATATGCTTTTGGATGTATACTCATTAATGTTTTTATTTTTTGTTTGTTTATTTCGAAATAGGGTAATTTTTGTAGAACTTTATTTGTGTAAACGTTTTCAGTAAAAAAAAAAAAAATATTGGATTTTTCTAGATTATTTATTGATGAATTTGGTAATTGTAATCACATTTCTTTTTTCTAAATAATTCCATCTTATGTTTGACAAAAAAAAAAAAAAAAAAAATCCATCTTATTTTTTTGGGCAAAAATTCCATCTTTCTGTGGTTGGGTTGGTGGACCTAAAATAAAAATAAAAATAAAATAAAATAAGGACGGACTTAAGCCTTAGGCCCAATTATAAGAGCCAGTTGAAACACCTAAACCGGACTGATGCTTGAATAACCAAATCAGAATGTGTGGAAAACCCGGTTCAAATTGTAAACCCTCGATTTCATTTCCTTAATTTGATCGGTGAGAAGAACGACGAAAGAGAAAAAGACTGTTTCAGTCACTGACAAAGGAGCTCGGAAACCAAATTCATCATTCACTGCTTGATTGCTTCTTTTTACCCAAAGGTTTGCTTTTTATTTCTTCTTCTATATGAATCTGGAATTTGCGACTATGTTGCTGCTTCTTGATAGATGCCCGTGTTTGTAAAATCGTATTCTTCTGTTTAGAAATCTTAAATTTTGAATTTTTAAGGCTTTGGCTTTGTGAAGTACTTACTCTGTTTAATGAATTTGAAGATATGGGTTTCAAGGATATATGCACACCTTTATAGACTGTTGATATTGTGTGTGTTATGAGATAGGTTTTTGGAAGCTAGAGTCTTGTGGAAGAGTATAAAAATCCAACCTTTATTTACTACTCTTAAGAGAGAGCAGTCTCACACCATGTCGGCTCTTGTGGCGTTATGCAGAGCTCGAGCTGCTTCGTCGTCTTCTTTATTCAACAGCATTGTTCGTCCAGCATTTCGCTCTTTCTCCACAGGTCTACTCTTTAACTTCATTCTTGATTGTTTATGGTTTCTAAGTTTTTGTCATTGTGTCTGTATGATCAAGAAATGGTGTTTTCATAGAGTTTGTTCTCTTCTTTATCCACTTTGGGTTGACCATTATATGATCCAGGCTGAAATTATTAACTTTACACTCTGCTTAAACAATGAAGTTACTGCTAGAATTTGGATTAAGTTCTTCAATGTATTTTGGAAATAGGTGGTATATGGATAGTGTGTCCTTTGAGTTACACTGTGAGAGTTATAGTTCGAGTCATTAGGCAGTATTGAGCTACCAGTATTGTTTAGCCACTTCTATTTTAAGTGTTTTTTTTTGTTTGGAACCCGATGATTTGGGTTCTGTTAAGGTGCAAAGCTCTTCTTGATGGATTAGTAAGTGGATACTACAACTTACTTCTGAGATTATGAACAAGTGTGAAAGTGCAGTTGATTCTCATTCTTAGAACTTAGATGATGAAACAATGAGCTTGTATCAGATCAGTTACTTCTTCTTAGTTATTCTTGGACCATTTTTAGTATCCTGAAACTGTGCTTAAGATACTCTTATGATGAAGAATTAACCATCATTAGAACATGGAGAAAAGTTGATTACTAGGACTTAAGCTTTGATCATTCGCATCAGATTCTTCTCCTAATTCTCTTGCTAGATTTATCATTTTATTACACAGGTTTTGCTGATGAGTGCATTTAAAATGGTAATTCAGTTCATGTATTTATGATTTCCTGTGATTAAGATTGAGCTCTGTTTAGTATAAATATCTTGAAAGTTACTTAATGACAAGATATATTGGTATATGAAGATCCATAGTTTCAATCTAGCTTTGTGTCTTTGGTTTGGATGTGCTTTATCTTATGACTGACACTTGAACGCCTCTATTTTATTACACAGGTTTTGCTGATGCGCAGAACAAATCATTGGTGGCGCAAATGAAAGAAGAGATGCTCCACATGGACATTAACTCAATGGTAGGAAGTTCCATGCCTCTAGGTATGATGCGTATCGGAACAATCATCCACAACATCGAGATGAACCCAGGGCAAGGCGCGAAGATGGTCCGAGCTGCAGGAACCAACGCCAAGATCCTAAAGGAGCCCGCTTCAGGGAAATGCTTGATAAAGCTTCCATCAGGGGACACCAAGTGGATCAACGCCAGATGCCGTGCTACGATTGGCACAGTGTCGAACCCCTCCCACGGAACTAAGAAGCTGAGGAAAGCAGGACAGAGTAGGTGGTTGGGGATAAGGCCCAAAGTCAGAGGAGTGGCGATGAATCCGTGTGATCATCCACACGGTGGAGGTGAAGGAAAAAGCAAAAGTAGTGGAAGCCGAGGAAGGACATCAGTAAGTCCGTGGGGGAAACCGTGCAAAGGCGGGTACAAATCCGCTAGTGTCAAGAAGAAGAAGAAGCGTTTGGCAGATGCAGCAGCAAAAATGTGATATGGATTGAAAAAAACAAGTTACGATCTCTTCTTCAAGTTCTTCTTCCTTTAAAACCTCTAAGGGTTATGTAACGTTATTGAGAGTTGTTGTTAAAAGCTTCTGTGAAATTGGAGCAACTGATTTCATCAACTAATAATAGATATGATTAACATTTTAATCATTGACCACGTTTTAATATATGCTATTTGAGAGACTGAAGCATCACAACTTCACAAGAGCTGGTGCGGCTACCTAAACCGGACCGACACTGTAATGCCAAAATGTAAAATGTTGTTTAGGAAAAGATTAATTAAAATTAAGTAAGTGAGAAAAGCAAGATCTTGTCCGTTTAGGAATGAATAATCCAATCATGGATACACAAACAATATAATTAAATTGAGCAACGGAACAATACAACACAATGATTATATTTTTTTTTAACACAGAGAGAGATACGTAGAAAATTAAAAATATAATATCAAATAAGGTTTCTTCATCTATTTTGTGAAGAATAAAATAAAAATACAAGAATAGTTTTCTTATAAAAGGAGACAAAACATACCTTAGAACATTGACATGTCTCAAATGATGTCTATTGCTCAAGCATGCTGCTGCCTTGGGGCGTGCTGACTTTTGCATTATCTCACTTTTTTTCTTACCCACCCATATTTCTCTCATTCTATTTCATCAAAATATTTTACAACTTTCATAAAAAAAATTAGCCCAATTCTGAAAAATGTTATGGTTTTAGTTTTCTTTGCCGACGCTAGCTATGGTTAAGTTTATGAAGTATGTTTTGTTCTTTCTTTTGTTTTACGTCAAGTTTAGGACAAATGTTCCGACTAAAATTAAGAGCAACTAAGATTAAAATTAAAAACAATAGTCGTTTTTTTTTTACTCTTGATTTATTATTTATTGCAAATTATGAGAATTATTACAATGACGATTCTATTACCGACAATTCTGTCCGACCCTTTTAGATTTACCACAGAATACACTTTTTCTTGACGACACTTTCTTCTCCATGCATAGAATCACGGCGAACGGCTCTAATTGTGCATTGTTATAGATCTCATGTAAGCTTATCTCTTTAATTTGCAAATTAAATAAATCGCATTATCTGGACGTCGAATCTCAGACTTTTTGGTGTAGAAACTTTAAACAACCCTTACTCAACCACTAGACTAAGGGAGCTTCCACATATATAGTCGTTTAAACTAATATATATTGTGAATCGAATTCAAAGTGATCTTACAAAAAAAACAAACGTTTAACTGATTAGTTTGCATTATCCGCGACATCAATTTGAAGCTTAAAATTTGACTACTATTCCTATTTTTGTGTATAGGAGAGAATTTGTATAAGATTTATATACGAAAACATAAAAGACAATGGTGTATATATTTGCATAGTCCCCCACGTCACGTTATATACTTAAAGGCATGGTCTATGTCCCATGCATAACTCTAGAGAGACAAAACATTCTCGAAAATTTCACGTTTCTATTTCAAGTATTTTTGTTTTATTTATTACGTTTCGTGAGTTTTATAGAATAAATTATAAACACATACCGCACGACACATGTATGGAGTATGTACTCGAAATCAACTTTAAAAAAAAAATGAAAAATGATGATCTTGGACCATAGCATGCCTCGGGTTTATATGTTATGCTTTCAAGAAATGATTGGTAAATTAATTTATGTTTACAAAAGTCAAACTTATTTTAATTGGTTTTTGTGTATATGATTCTTCTATTTGTTGTACCCACGTAACACTTTGGAATGAGTTTGATTTGACCATTGTGTTTAAATTTTTGAACGAAAAATATCATTTCTAAAATCGGAATAATACACTACCACAAAAACATATTATCACCAAGTTACCAAGAATTATTATATTCACGTTGTATTGTATCATAGAAAGTTAAGATAAGGTTAGCAAAAAAAAACGATGTTATATATATAATGAAGACATTAAAATTGTAATACTGAAAAGGACAAAGCATGCACAATTTTAATCATTAGAAGAGACTATGATATGAAGATGAAGAAGAAGAAAAATCAAATATGTAGATCCTATGAAACTAGTCATATCTTGTCTATTTCTCAAAAACTCTTGATGTAACTTGTATTTTTACAACTAATCCTTATATATTATTGGATTGTTACCGTTGGAATTCATGGTATATTTTTTTAGCAATTTATTAATTACAAAAACAATGTTAAAAACGGTAATTGATTTTCATATCATTTTTATTTTAAATCACTTTACTATTGTTTATCGATTATTTATCCGTGAAAAACTTATATTCATTTTGTGTAATCAATCAAATTTTACATACTTTAAAACCTTTTTAAAATTTATTCGAAGGATATTAATATTTAGTTTGGTTCAAAATTTTGATAGAGCAATATATATCGAATAATTTATAAGAGTATACAACAAAGAGAATAGAAGATTAAGATAATTAAGAAATCACATCATTATAGTTGGATGTATATTTTGTATATCTTTATGAGTACAATGAAGTGACTTAATTAAGAAATTGACAAGAGAATTAAATTTTTAGACTTCTAAAAAGAACAAAATCGCAAACGCATGAGTTTGTTCATGACATTCGTCGTCTCCACATATATTTCTTTCTTTTTTCTAGTTTTAGTTGTTGTCTACTTGTGCAATAATGTATTTGGATTTATATAAGATATGTTTGGACAATTTTAAAACATTGACGTGCATGTTCGCATAGAATCAGCCATACAAAATGACTAGAAACCGACTTATTTCTAGAAAATGCCATCTTGTCCTAATCAAATAGCTCTACTTTTTTTTTTTTTTTATAATTAAAATCCGAAAACTATATATCTCTATATTTTGATAATTGTGTGACTTATAAATTTTGTCTTATGTATTTTAAATAATGTATCCTCGGCTTTCGCAAATTCAAAAACACACAAAAAGAAAAAACAACCCTAAGGTGCTTTCTTGATCAAACACTTTATCTTTTTCCTTTTCTTTCCCTAACTTTTATTTTGTTTGTTTACAAATCAATTATTCGTTTTGTAAAGAATCTGTTTTTTCCTAAATTTACTTCATAATCCCAATGCTAATTACTGTACCTCTCTTGATTCCTCACAATCAATTTCCTTTGTATTTATTTTTTAACCGTGAAATTTGGCCAAATTTGAGGATATGATGTCAATAATCATGGAAATAATTGGTATAATAAAAAAACAATTACTAATAAAATCAGTCATTTTAAAATGGAAATAATTTGAACAAAATTTGTGGGGTAATTGAAAAGAGGAAGAAATATTAAAAAATAAAAAATAAAAACAAAGAAAACGTAAAGCTAAAGCAAACACTCTCGAAGCCTATAGCTAAGAAGGCGTCACTACACTTTCTCACTCTTTCAAAAATCCTCACTCATCTATCAAAATCTGAGATAAAGATAAAGTTTTTTCTAAAGAGCTCTCTAATTTAAGATCCGATCGTCATCTCCACTTCTCTGGATCTTCAATCACCAAACCAAAATCCCAAAATTTGGAAACTGTTTCTTTTTCTTTTCTCTCTGCGTTGCTCTGTTTCTTGATTTTTTTTTGGGTGACTGCTCTGTTTCTTGATTTTTTTTTGGGTGACTGCTCTGTTTCTTGATTTTTTTTTTTTGGCAATGAAAGAAAGAGGAAAGAGAACAGCAATGGAACGAAGACACGAAGACGTTTCGTTATATTACAGCACTCCGTCGGAGTTCGTTTGCCGGAAACATCCGTCTGTTTCCTCCGGCGTCGGGATTTGTCCGTACTGTCTCAACGACAGGTTAGTCAATCTCGTCTGCTCCGAATGCGGCGAGCAGAGACTCTCTTCTTGTTCGTGTTCCGATATCTCTCCCACTCGAGTCTCTAACGCCGCCGTAGACGCTGTCGCTGGAGAAAACGTTGTCCGGATCTCTTCACTCATCGACGAAGAGAGGGCGAAACAGAGGAAAGAGACGAAACAGAGGAAAACAGAGGAAGTGGTTGTGTTCAAGAGGAGTAGTAGCAGTTGTGTTGAGATTAGTAAAAGGACAAAGAATCATAGATTCTCGAGAATCGGAAGGTTCTTCAGGAAGATTAATCTGAAAAAGGAGAGAGATTTTGAGAAGAACAATAACAACGATTCATGGGTTTTGGATTATAACAATGATGTGAAGAAACTAGGGGTTTCGAGATCGAGATCGCTTTGTAGTTTCAGAGGTAAAGATTTGTACTGTATCGGATCGGAGGAAGACGGATCTTCGTATTCCGGTGCGTTCTCCGCCGCGAGAAGCTCGAGTGTTAATGGCGGGTTAGGTTTTGGCGAAACAGAGCACCCTCGGAAGAGCAATTTCGAAGGGAGGAAGAGTAACTTCAGCGAGACGACTGAGCATCGGAGGAGCAATTTCGAAGGAGGGAGGAAGAGTAATTTCAGTGAGACAACGACGGAGAATCGGAAAAGTAATTTCAGTGAATCGGAGCCGCCGCGAAGGAGCGGTTTCGAGGCGAGGAAGAGTAATTTCAGTGAAACAGAGTATCCTACTCGGAGGAGTAACTTTAGTGAAACAGAGTATAATCATAGACGAGGGAACAATCCGGCGACGGCGATGGCGGCGGAGAATCATCCACGGAGGAGTAACTACGAGACGGCGAGGAAAAGTGATTCGGCGGCGATGAATTTTACGAGAAGGGTAATGTCAATGAAAGAGAGTAGTTACTTCACCGGAGGAGAAGAGCCTGGTTTCATTGATCTCAAGTTTGATTCTTCTGGTGGAGGAGAAGTAAACGACGGCGTTTTAGAACACGGAGGAGGAGGGTCTTGTCGGAAAGATGGAGGAGAGATGCGTTGTAAGAGTCGGAAGAGTTTCAAAGGATGGAAATGGATATTTGGACATCATCATCATCATCAGCAACAACATCAACTTCATCATCACAACACAGATTCATGATTAAAGAGACAATTTTTATGGGATCCAGTAATGAAACATGGAGCTGGTTTTGTTTGATCCGATGTCAATCTTAGTTTTATATATAAAAAAAAGCTTTAATTTAATCTTTTTTTCTTTTCATATTTTTATGGTTTATCATTTTTGTTTTTTAAATATATATATCCAACTCCAAGTTTTGAGATATTGGTTTGCTTAGCTGATTAGTATTTTATATTTTATAGTTACAAAAATGATTGTCATAGTCAGAAACTCAGAATCAAACTAATGTAAGTTTTTTGGGTTTTGGATAAGGGAATGCGAGTGTTTTAATCGAATATATGTTATCTCAAGCGTTAACATAGAGACTTGGAAATAGAACTGTCAAAATAAGTTGTCCACGTCCATTAAGAGCTGTCCAACATTGAGCATTTTGATTATGGATGGAGAAATTATGATCATGTCCAAAATATATCACAATTTATCATTGATTTTGTAGTGTTTTTAAGATGAAAGCTCTGTATCTCCCTCTGAGGATAAGAAGAAAGAAGACGACTAAAAAAAACTCATTCTTATGACAAAACAAAGCTCGATATGCTCTGCTATTTTTAACTTGTGATACAATGCTTGATATGGTAGACAATAGGAATTTTCATTAAAATCATATCATAATCCATATCATCGATTGACAAACCAAATCCAGTTGAGTTTCTTGTTAATAAGCTCGATCGCCAAAACCTATCTTTTGTAAAGAGTCTTCTAAAGAAACATCTTAGAAGACCTTTGGCTTGTGCATTTCGTCATAAGATGTCACCAATAAATACAAGACTCTCTGAGTTAAGACTTAACAGCTGAGTTAAGACTTAAAAAGGCTCTTCTTTTCAGAGAACCACGTTCTTAAGTTACTTCTTAAAGTTCCTTAACATGTAATCTACTCTCTGCTTCTTTTTATTAAGCCCAACTTCTACAAGCAAATGTCCAATCAAGTAAGCCCAAAAAAAAATAGCCTGTTACTCCAAAAAGTTTAATAAATATGGCCCAAAGACCAACGATCAAATCAGTGAGTTAAAAAACATTATACTTGAGTAACAGATTAAACTATAAAGTACATGTTTCATTTAGTAATGATTCATGTACAAAATATTCGTTAAATCCGTAAATGATTCCAATTAAAAGACTGATCTTTAAAGAGTTATTTAGTAACATTCATGTAAGCATTTCCAAAATTTCATGAGACAAACAAGCGTTTTCTGTTATTCTTACTAACCCAATTTGTTTCTATAGTCATCTTTGTAATAATAGTTTTTTTTTCTTTTTTGTATTATTTTTTTATAAATCTTGGCCATTACTTAGGCATGGTCCTTTAGAAAAAAGGTGAACGCATAGTTTTGCCAAACGTATCAATGTGTCATCGTATCTTCATGTGAACCAAAACACATAGCCTATGCTTTTAATGTGTATAAAAAGATACTTAGCGTGTACACAATGAACAAGCTTTTCCACAAAAGAGTTTTGAATTACATCATATCTTTTAAGGTGATTCACATCTCTATAGTCTATGATATCAATTCATACGAACTTTTTTTTTATAGATTCTTTCTTAATGACTTCGATTGCTAATTTCCAAAAAGATTTGTAATCACATGACCATCAATTCAGCTTCAAGGACTATTTGAATTTAATATTCTAATACTTTATTAGTTTGTTTAAGTTGTTAATAATTTGATCGAAAACTATTGTCTTCGTTCATACCCTACCAAAATATATATATCTTGATCGAATGGCTAATTTAATGTAGAGTGTTATTCAAGAAAATTATCGTAATCTCACAAATTCTGTTCACACATTATATTATCTAAACCATAACTAACATTTATTATGTTTGCTTTCTTGATTAGCCTTTTTGCACCCAATGTCTTCCTTATAGAAGCAAAGAACAAAGGAGTTCCTTCAAACCAAATATCCCAAAAATATGTTAGGATTTAGTTTGTTCTTTAACTTCTTCTATCCTCTCTCTATTAATTCTTATTCGAATCTCTCCTTCAAGATTCCATGGAAGATCTCAACACATTCGCAGCTGACTGCGTAGTTGTATCGTGTTGTTGCAACTGTCTTGTTCTCCAGATCGCGGTCTTTATCTTCCTTGGACTTCCTCAAAAGCTTGTCAAGAACACGAGGAAATGTTACGCGAAATGGGGGATAAACCGAAGGATAAAAAGAATGGGGCTTTGCTGCGAATGTAGTCGAGAAAACACCGATATCGATTCGGGATGGATGAAAGAGTCTATAACGACTATGAGTATGGTGGAGATGGAAGGTCTTAGGTGTATTGAAGAAGTTGAACAAGCTTTACAAGAGTTTTCAAAGAATGGTGAGTTTTTGTTTGGAAGCTTCTGGGGACAAGAGAGGGTTCAAAATTCTTCGTCAATGTCAAATTGTGGTAATGACAACTTTGACTTGAGATTTGTAACTCGTTATGAGATCATTGAAGAAAATTTCTACTCCTTGGATTATATATTCACAATTTCACCTAATCTAACATTGAAATAAAAATAGTTCCAACTAGATATTTTTTTTTTTAATTTACTTGTTCCAAATTTAAGAAATCCATATTATTATACCAAACTGATATTGCTTATATAAAAAAAAGTCATATAATTGACAAGTTCTTGCTCTATTAATAATATATCCGCCTCATACAAACTCTTTAGTGCTAAATAAATAAATCAATCTTATTTGGTCTTGAAAGATTTAATTTTCCAAATCTTTAAAGTACAACAAACAACAATTAAACAAAAAATAAATAATATTCAACCAATTAAATAAATTTAGCTAGTAAGTTTAATAATGCGGATGGTGAAGAATTAATGGTAATTAAATATTTGTATGGTAACCATTTGTTTTTCTTCTTTGGAACACAAATATTTGTATGGTAACTAAAATGATAAAAACATAAGCTTACTTCAACTTTTTCTTATAAATGTTATAAATGTTGAAAAATACATTATTATATGGAATAAATTGATTAACACATTACACTTTTGAAATATAAGAAATGGTAATGGTCCATTCTGAATATATTTATCACAAATAATTATTATTAAAACAAAACATAACTATTTTGTTCGAAAGAAAAAAACATAATTGTAAGACAAGAATGTAGCTGTGTGATGTGCTTCCTACCCAATTTCCAATTTAATGATTTTTTTTCTCCAATTTAATGATTTCACCGTCAATCCCTCCTTTAATTGGTCTCCACATATTAATAAAATCTTATCCAATAATTGAAAAATAGTACTTATAAATTCATAGATAAATGTAACTAAATATTTCAATTTACTAATTCAACTGTACACAATAATAAATCAACTCCATCTCCAAAAACGCGGTTTCTTCTGCTTTAAGAAACTATTCATCCCTAAATTTTTCCGAAACCCTAAAAAATCAAAACTTTTTTCCTCTCTTCCCTTTCAACAATGGCGTCTGCGAAACCAACGGACCAAATCAAACAACTCAAAGACATCTTCACACGTTTCGACATGGACAACGACGGAAGCTTAACACAGCTCGAGCTCGCGGCGCTTCTCCGTTCTCTAGGGATCAAACCACGCGGCGACCAGATCTCTCTTCTCTTAAACCAGATCGACCGCAACGGCAACGGATCCGTCGAGTTCGAAGAGCTCGTGGTGGCGATACTGCCTGATATCAACGAGGAGGTTCTGATAAACCAGGAGCAGCTCATGGAGGTTTTCAGGTCGTTTGATCGCGACGGGAATGGTTCGATCACGGCGGCGGAACTTGCCGGGTCAATGGCTAAAATGGGACATCCGTTGACTTACCGTGAGTTGACGGAGATGATGAGGGAAGCTGATTCTAACGGTGACGGTGTTATTAGTTTTAATGAGTTTGCTCATATTATGGCTAAATCTGCTTCTGATTTTCTTGGATTAGCTGTTTAATTAATTTATTAATTCTCTGTTTTAAAAAAAAAAAAAAAAAATTTCTCTTCTTCATGCAACTTGTGGCAATTAACAATGCGTTGATCTTCTATTAATTAACTTGTGATCCGTTGGAGTGACGTAACAAATTTAGTTTGGTAATTCTAATTAAAAATATCATGTCAACATTGACTTTTGACGAAATTTTAAAGTTCAAGTAAGATTTTTCTTTTTTTTAGTAATGAATTTAAGCCAAGTGTATATATATTTATGTATTGATTAATCAGCATTTCTTTTATAAAAAAAAAGAGAGGATAAAATTGGTAAAATATATTATAATAAAACGTAAAAATAAAATATTTTTAAGTAAGGCAAAAATTATAGTAATCTACATAGAAAAATAGCCCGAAATTTCTAAAGCTCTAGTTTAAGATATATAATATATATGTATATGTATACAGAAAAAATTAGTACATAACTTAAGATCAGTAAAATTCATATACTATATGAACTTAATTCACAAATTAATTAGAAAAGTCAGTATTTGACCCAAAAAAAAGAATATATGTGTTGAATCAAAAATGGAGTAACCAGAAAATGTCCACGAACCTCACATGAACCTTCTCTTTAGTCTTTAAATGTCTTTGTCTGAACTTTGAATATCCAAATTTTTTGCTGTCGTCTTATCCTTTTGTGTGGTCTATATACATTGGACCGGAACTAGACAGTGGTGGACATATGGGATTTTACTTCTTTTAAATAAATTAAGGGTCAAATTAATTAAACTATAATTAAGAAAATAATCAATTCTAAATTTATTTTATTGTAGTACTTAGTAGCTAGTAGTACTAAGTTAGTAGCAAGTAGAAAAGTGTTATTTTAAGTGTTAACTTTACCATCATCAAATGAAATTTCTTTTTCTCATTATCTATCAAATTCTTAATACACAATAAATTACATAAAATCTAAGCTAAAAAAAAAAGTTATGTACAAAAATATGTGTGTGTGAAATAAAAATTACAGAGGCTTTCCTCTGAATCTCAAGAAGAAAGAAAACCCTAAGTCTCCACGTTAGAGATATACCGTATTTACAAAGAAACAAAATCTATAGACTCTTCAAATACCAACAATATCTTTATAGATATGATCGTGAAACCTAGCGGAGCGCCGTACACTTGCGGCTCTTCTCGCGGTGTATCCGACGGTGGTGGGTCTGATCGACCTCTGCCTCACCATCTCAACGAACTCTGGATCATTAGAGTGACCCTCGTACCGTATCCACTGAATCATTTGATGGTATATAGGGAAAAACCTCATTTGCACTGACTTGTAGACGAAGTAAGGGATCAAAGCAAAGATCATGACGAAGAGAGTTGTGAGCCAGTAGGAAGGAGCAGGAGCTAGGGCTTCGAGGAAGACCATGTATGCATCCGTAGAGAAGCTTGGTGCCATAGCTCCATAGATCATGAGGAAGATGTACCAGAAGGCTATTGATCCCCAAATCACAATGTGTTGAACCCAAGTGAAGTAACTTATTGTTAAAGCCATTTGGAGATTGACTACCCATACCACGCAAGTGTACATTGTTCCACCGAGGATTTCTCGGCCTGCGGTTTTGCCATCTGGGTCGAATAGCTGGTGTTTTAGAGATTCCTTGCAGAGGAAGAAAATCGCGAGAGCGGTTATGAATCCATTGAACATCCATCCTATGATCCTTTTCCAGCTGAAGAGAATGTTCTGCACACCTTCTTGGTATAGCAATGGAAACTGCGAGGAGAAAAGAACGGTAAGAAACTCTTGCGGGTTGAAGAAATTTATAGATTTTTCAAGAAGCTTAATCTGTAAACCTACCTTGTAGCAGAAGCGAGCTGAGACATCTTGATCAAAGACTCCGAGGGCAACGACAGGGAGAGAAGAGAAAAAGACGTTGAAAAGAGAGAGGAACCAGTCGTTGTATAAGGGTTGTCCAGAGAAGGAAGTGTAAGCTTCATATAAGAAGAGAGTGACTCCGAAGGTGATGTTCTTGTAGAAGAAGTAACATATCTGCAGAAAGGTCAAAACCCTGGGTAAGAGAAAGATTGAGATGAATGATGAAATCAGGGAAAAGTTTTAAGTCGTTCTACCATGGTTGTGATTCTGCTGTAACACCAATGACCATGGACTAGTAATAGACGTTCTAGATATCGGAATTGAGCAATGGCGATATCACTAGACATCACTGCTTGCATTCCTTCAACACCGCTTATTCCTATACCAATATCTGCTTCTTGAAGCATTCCTACATCGTTTGCTCCATCGCCAATCGCTAAGGTAGTCTTTCCAGTTCCGGATTTTACCAGCCGCGTAACCTAGAAACCCCGAAAATAATTGTTAGAATTGAAACATTATAAACTGGTAAAAAAAAAAGAGAAATGTCATCAAGATCTAAAGATTGTGTACCAATGCTTTTTGTTTAGGTGATGATCTACAGCAAATCACAGAGGCACAACCAGTGGCAAGATCAAGAAACGTTTTCTTGATTTCATCCTCGAGAGCATAGGTTAGCGATTTCCCATCAATGATCAAAGCAAATGCTTCAGAGCTGGCGCCTGATTCAGCAAGTAAGGCATTTCCTTGTTGTAGTTGCATCACAACGCTCTCTCTTGATGCCAATTCGATTTCGTCTTTGCCTCCAGATTTCTCTAGAGATTTGATATGAGGTGTCTCAAGATTGATAATGATCTGTTTCATCTCTTGTCTTAGTAAACTAGAAGCAAATCTGCAAGAGAAGATTTTGAAGTCAGTAACTAAAAAACACACACAAGAATAAGAGCACTAATTGTTTTCAAACATAAGATTCAAAATTCAAGATTCAAGATTCAATACCCAATATTGATAGCTGTTTCCATTTTGTCTCCAGTTAGAACCCAAATCTTAATTCCAGCTTGAGCAAGTTTGTCAATACATTCCGGGACCTGAAACACCCATCAATCGAAAAAAACCGTTAATTCCAAAAACCTTAAACTGTCAAAAAAACTTGAGCTTTATATAGTCTTCAAATAAAGTCATACCCCATTCTGAAGTTTGTCCTCAACAGCAGTAGCACCGAGGAGAATGAGATCGCGTTCCATCCTATCCGTGATTTCGTCTATTAAAGTTTCACGCTCCTCGCTCACTGACGCCTTAGCTTCATTGAAATTCTTGTTGAACTCTATGTACTCATTCTCATCAACTTCGCGGTATGCAAGTATTAGTGTCCTTAGACCTGCATCTGCATATTGGTTTACATGTTCTTGGGTTTTCGCCTCGAATTGACGACCGTTCTTTGCAAGTCTTTGGAACATTACACTAAAAAGAGCGCACACAACAAAATCAATGTTAGTTAAAGTCTTTCAACAATAGAGTTTCAAAATATGTTGCAATTTGCTTACTTGTCAGCTCCTTTAGACAATAGCAAGAGCTTCCCGTCATCGTCTCTTACAATAACCGACATTCTTTTCCTCGTGCTATTGAACTCAAGAACGTTTAGTAACCTATAAACCCTGCAGCAAGAACAGAGGAAACTTTGAGCTACAGAGTTAACAGAAACTACCTTCATCGAAAACTACTAAACTAGTGAGTCTAAAAATCGAACCTTTCGACTTTTTCCCCTGATACAAGATCCAATTCACGAAACGAGATCCCATTTTGTGTCCTGTTAAAGAACTCGAAACCAAACTCTCGAGCTGCAACAACAAATGCAGCTTCATCCGGAGACTCAGCTTCATAAGAGACATTCCCGGTCTCTTCATCGGTCTCAGGTATCGCCGTGTGACACACAGCAAGCAATCTAAAAAACTTCTGCAACACGGCAGCTTCTGGTTGCCTCACCCAATTCCCATTCATAACCCTATCATCCTGAAAGTTAAACCCTTTGATCTTAGGAGCAGAACTGTCCACAACAACATCCAAATCTTCATTAACCAAAGGCGAACCACCGCTTCTCACAGCCATAGCTCTCTCAACCTCAGTTATACCGCGTCCATAAGCAGTACCCGCAATAGAACACTTAATAAACTCCATTGAGTTGCACGTCAAAGTCCCGGTTTTATCGGATAGGATTGTATCAACCATACCGAGCTCTTCGTTCAAATTCGAAGTCCGTGCCTGCGCAGGTTTATCCGTTTCTTCATAGTACATATGAATGTCTCTGTTGATGAAAATGCTCTGAAGCACTTTAACAATCTCAATCGAAACATAAAGCGAAATCGGAATGAAGTAACTGTAGAGCATCACGGCTGTAAAGAAATGGTAAATTGCAGCCATTGGAGCATTTTCTGGATCAAAGAAGATCTCTGCATCATCTGGTTTCAAATACCATCTCTCTGTTCTTCCGTTCTTGACTTTATCCTCTCTTGTTTCAACTCCGAAGATGATTGATCCAACGAACGACATTAGAAACACCAAACCGAACATTAAGTAGATAATCTTGTCCATTTTCCTCTCAATCCTACTTCTCTTCGATGGGGGATCAGTTGAGTTCTGTATCACCTGTTTTTCAAAAAAAAACATTTGAAATTTTGTCAGAATCCAAAACAGAGTAAAAACAGAGCAGAGTGAGATCTGATTAAAGTTGGTACCTTTGTGTCATGTCCGGTGAAAACAACAGCTCCGTACACATACTCTGTATTTCTAAGCTTCGAATCTCGTAGAAGAATCTGTTGAATCGACAATGGAAACCTCTCTTCTTCGAGAGCCAAAGTCCCAACAAACACATAAAGATTCACATTTGGATCTTCACATCTAACAACGGCTTTAAAATCTTTGAAATCAGAATCTTGATTTAACAACGAAGACGTCGCTTCAAGTCCTTGTTTCACTTTCAGATTCGTCTCACCGTCGAGATTCATCGTTTCTACATAACAGATCGAATCCTCGTAGCTCGACGACAATAGCAAAAGATCCGCCGGGAAAAACTCGTCTTTCTCGACTCTTACTATGTCACCTACTCTTAGATTCCTCCACTCCTCTTGCCGGAATATTCCATTTCCGTCGTGTACCTTCACCTTTCTGTTATTCACCTCAATATCCTGAAGAAAAATTGAATTTTGATTCAATGGTTTACTTAAAAATCCATACTTTATGGAAGTTTGTATAGCAAAGTTTGACTTTTTAGACTTAAAAAATTTCTCCATTAATGGAAATGAAGATTTTTTGAAGTAAAGATTGTATTTTTATTTTTCAAGATCGGAGAATTTATGTAAGTGTAAGTAAAGATTGAGTTTTTAAAGATTTTCAGACCTGTTGTTTCCGGCGCCAATCTTCGATACCTTCTTTAACCATTGTAGCAGAGATAACGAGAGCAAGAGGCAAGAGAGCACTAACGGGTCCATAAGGAGAGAGATCAGTCAACGACAAGACTCCGGTGACTAGGAAGTAAAAGTTAGCTACGCGACGGAACTGCTCAAAGAGAGATTTTGGGAAGAAAGAAGCAACGGTGTATTTCGTTGACCGGACGTAATTTCCGGCGTAATTCCGGCGTTCGGCTGCCGGAGAACCCGGTTCGTTACAATAAACGACGCGTGAGAAACCAGGTCCTCCTATGTTGGAGTGATCCTCTTTGAAACTTGATTTGCCACAAGTGTATGAATAGATCTTGCTTAGATGTAATCTTCTTCTTCTCCGACCAGTACCAGTACCAGGACCAGGACCAGCCATAGCTTATTAGTTTACAAGTACAATCTCTCTTTGTCTGAAATTTTTTGAGAAATTTGGAAGAAGAATACAGAATTAAATCTACAAAAAAAAATACTTGGAGAACACACTTGGGTTAACGAATTAAAGAATGTTAGAAATGTTGAATCTTAAGATATGAAATAATGGAAGCTTTTTAAGAAATGTGTGAAGGTGAGAAGATTTTTTTATAAAAGAGAACCAACTTTGAACGACGACTTTGAATCTTAGCACTTTTGGCTCATTTCTTGACTTTTTTGACGGGGTTTCCTTTTTTATAAATTTTATTTTTGAAATTCTTATAAAAAGATATAGGAAAAAAGAACGAAACTAGCTCTTAAACGTGTGTAAATAACGGAAGTAGCCCATACAAAATTGTTAGAACTAGAATAGCCCAATAAATAAGGTTAATTACGAAAGCCCATCTGGTTTTGATTTTTATTACGTCTGTGCCATTTTTTATTTGTTTGACTTATTAAAATAAAACTATAGAGTTATCGAGAAAATGAAAAACCTAAAAACGAAAGATATCTTAAACCAAACCCTAATTACCTAGAAACGAACAGTCTTTTCTCTCTTGAAGCGACTCGTGAGGCGATTCCGGCGACTCGTGAGGCGATTCCGGCGGTTGTTGAAGCGAGTTGAACAGTCACGGGCGGCGTTGTCTGTACTTTCCGGTAAGATGTGGCTTTAATAGGTTAGTGGAGTCGTTTACTGTGTGTAGAGATACTAAAAAGACGACTTTGAATCTGTGATAGATCGAGTCGACAGAGATGGTGGAGGCGAGGCGAGGAGGAGTTGTGGGTGGAAAAGCCAGATTTCGTGTATATATTGGAGTAGGCGAGAGTTAACGAAGATCAATCATCCTTCTTTGTTACTTTGTCGAGCACAGTGTTGAAGACAATTCGTGGGGGTAAGAATTCTGTGATGGTTGTGGGTAATTAAAGTTTGAAAGAGAAAACGATAATGAAAATTGTATATTTTTTATAGGTATCTAAACGACGGGGACATTATCGGAGGTTTGTGGAATAAAAACCGGCGTCGTTGAAGAAAAATAAGGTTAGTGTAATTTGAAAGATTTGGTATAGTTTTTTAACGATGAGTTATAAATATGGTTGATTGGTTTGGATTTTTAGAGTAATTTTGTAATCTGGTAACAATCTGGTAACGATAACTATCAGAATCTTGTAACGATGATTTATCGAAATTGGTAGATATAGTTAATGTTCTTAGGAGTGTGGAAAAATAGCAAAAATCGGATAGAAACAAATAGGGCTATTTGAATTTGGCGGGTTCTTTGGGGAAATAAAGAATTTTGTTTGGTAAGGCATTGAAAATGACATTTCATATACTTGGTGGCAGAGTAAATATTTAGATTTAGTGTCATTAAAGTATGATATTGTGATAGAGTAGTGTCATTAAAGTAGTTATAGTTGCTATTTTATTCTCATTAGAAAAGACAAAAAAAACTGGTGGTGGGGTATGTTGTACATTCATATAAATAAAGCATGAATGGTCTGTAGTAACATGGAATGACACTATAAAATTGGAATGTAGTAGGTTGTATGTTTCATGGAATGAGTAAATGTGATTTTTGTCATTTTCAGACGGTTATGTTTTTACCTTAGTATTCACAGACTTTGAAAAAAGATATAGACGTTATGGCAGGAAATATTGATAGAGTAAAATGTTATGCATATATGTGTTTGTGCTAGGTTGATTTTGAGTGGCAATAAATTGATAAAAGGGTAGGTTATAATGAAATAAAATTAAAAACGATTGTATGTAGAAATGACAGACTTTTGGATTAGAATGTGAATTTGGTTGTGATTGTTTTTAATTTTCACACACGTCTGTGTTATTACAATTGTGTGTTTGGTTTTGAATTCAATATCACATTAACATTAGTATTCACCGACTTTGAAAAATGATATAGATGTTATGGCAGGAAATATTGATAGAGTAAAATGTTATGCATATATGTGTTTGTGATAGGTTGATTTTGAGTGGCAATAAATTGATAAAATGGTAGGTTATAATGAAATAAAATTAAAAACGATTGTATGTAGAAATGACAGACTTTTGGATTAGAATGTGAATTTGGTTGTGATTGTTTTTAATTTTCACACACGTCTGTGTTATTACAATTGTGTGTTTGGTTTTGAATTCAATATCACATTTACCTTAGTATTCACAGACTTTGAAAAAAGAAGGGAAGGTAATTGTTGTGATTGTTGTAATTTTCAGGAAATGGCATCATCAAGTGGTAAAAAGAAGCGAAGGTACCCTCCTTTACTGTATCCGCCTGGAAAATCTCCTCTTTTAAAGAGGAGCGTCCACCATAACTGCACTTTGGCCAGTTTTGGATACATGAAAGACTGCATTGGTGAAGATGTTTACATAGACATCTGGGATCATACACAAGTAGGAGTTTTATTGAGTCTTGCTGATTCTGACTATGTGTGGTGGGCTAAGCTTGTGCATTACATCCTCACACGACAGTTGGCTATAGAGAGGAGGTATGAGATTTGGTCATTGATTGAAGGCTGTCTAATCAGGTTCTCTCTAAATGAGTATGAAGACATTTCTGGTCTCAACTGTCAGCCTATAGTTGAGGATGATATTGTGGAAGTAGATCACAGAGAATTTTGGGCAGAGTTAAAGGTGGATAGTGGTGTAGGGCCTAACTGGACTGAGTTGGATGAAGCCTTGAAGAATTGCAGAACATGGAGTCCTCAGAAGAGAAAGATGTTGGGACTTTTGTTTGTTGTTCATGTTGGCATATTGGGACTACCAAGGGGCAGTAGGATTCCATTGGAGTATGCAAAAAGAGTGTTAGATTTTGCAGCATTTGATAGATTTCCTTGGGGCCGGGTTGGATTTAAGGAGCTAATCCAGTCCATTAAAGTGTTGTCCGTTAAGAAAGAGAGTTGTGCAATCCACGGATGTGTTCATGTTCTGATGATATGGGCATATGAGTGTTTGAAAAATCTAGGGAAAACCTATGGGAATAAGAAGAAGTTGGATGAAGACTTGGCCAATGCTGATGATCTGCCTCCACTACTTATGTGGAGTGGAAAACGTCCAAGAATTGACATTGCAGAATTCTTTGCCGCAGAGAAACTTGTTAACAATAAGGTGCTAGTTTCTCTTTTATCCAACTTCATTTCTTTGAATTTGCACCTGTTTTAAGAGTTCTGACAGACTTGTTTCCAATGTAGATTGTTGCTGAACATTTCTCTTGGCGAGAAGAAGAAGATATATTCCCTTTTTGGCCCGATGAGGTAGGTGTCTATGGGGAATCCTCTGGCTCTAACAAACTCCTCGACAATCTGCTGCATGACATCTTCCTGGGATGCGTTGATGAGAGAGAATGGGATGTTCCATCTACTCATGATGATGGAGGAAAGAAGAAGATGGAGAAGAGGAAGCAGATCATAGATTCTGATGATGTTAGAGTAGAGAAGAAGATGGGGAAGAGGAAGCAGGTCATGGATTCTGAAGATGAAGTTGATCCTCCTCCACAAAAGAAGCAGAGTTTTAGACGATCTAAAGGGCCAGTTAAGTTGGTAGAACCTAGTGACGAAAGTGGAGAGGAGAGCTCGGGTTCTGAGAGGGCAGAGAAAGGATCACTTGAAGGATTAATGAAGTTGCTTGGAAGTTTGACAGGGAAGGTTGATTCAATGCATGCTAACTTGGGAGGGCAGATGGAAAAGATTGGGAACCAAGTTAATGCGATTGAGAATAAAGTGACAGTCCTTGAGAGTGATGTGTGCGAGTTGAAGAAAGATAAAGTAGAGGTAGGTGATAAGAAAGGGAAGGGTGTCAAGATTGATACGGAAGTGAAGATAGGGGGTGGTGCGAATGATGAGGAGTCCAAAACTGGAGATGATGTTGGTTCTGGTCCCAACGCTGAGGTTTGACCCCTAAACATATCTCTTTTTTTGCATTAAAAGACTTTCATATAAGGTATGTTTAAAGGATAATGGTTTTTTCCATGCAGAAAAATGCTTAGTTGGTTGGTTGCTTGGTGGGGATATCTTTTGAAGCTAACTTTATCTCCCTGTATTTTCTGCTTGTTCATTTTGTTCAAAACATTAGACTGGTTTTAAATTGTAAAATATGAAGTTTGTGTGTGTTTTATTGAAGACTTAACTCTGTTATGTATTAACTTTTTCCATATGTAAGTTCTATATTTCGTAAGTCTGCTATGCTGATATCCAAATGTTTATTAACCTTTTAGTCTTGGAGATTAGAGACGAAGCAAACTTCGCAGGACGAGTTCCCTATTTCTTGTGTTGTAAGGAATCCAATAAGTAGGACAAAATTATCTTTGAAGAAAGTGAGACAAGTTCAATCAGGAGGGAAAGAAATGAATAAAGCAGTTGGAGTTGGAGCTAAACAACTTAAGGAACCAAGATCTACACCTGAGAATAAGAGGAGTGAAACACTTATTCCCTTGAGAAACAATTATATCTCTGCCATGCATGACAGAGATCCTGTAAATAAGAGGAATGATTATGGAAGTCCTTCTGGATTGATTGTTCCAGAAACACAGTTCAGCCCAGTTCAAGGAGGAGGCATGGAAATTAAAAAAGTTGATAGACTTAGAGGAAAACCAGTTAAGGAACGTACATCTGCACTTCAGAACAAGAGGACTGAATCTGTTATACCATTAGCAAAGAATTATATCTCTGCCATGCTTGACAGAGAGAGTGTGAAGAAGAGGCTGGATTATGGTGAGGAAAGGCAAGTGGAAAGGGGTGATCCAATACCTATTGATTTGACTACTGGTTTGGAAGAATCATCGGACGGATCAGACATATCAGAGCCTCCTGAGGTTGAAGCTAGAAAGAATCTGGGTTTATCCCTTGAAAAGTTGTACATGTTTTGCAAAGACGATGGTGTTGTTCCTCGCGAAGGCCGAAAGAGAAACCTTGCTTCCACTCAACTACATCCGTACGTTGGTAGTTCTGTTGTTAAGCGTATATTGAAAGGGAAAAAATTGTCTCCAGCACATTATGACCCCTTTGAGAAGGTCAGCAAATCTTTGGCAGAGAAGTTAATGGCATATATAGACAAAGATTTGTAAGTTAAACTCTGCCTTAAAAACTTTCTATCTGCTTAACTCTGCCTATATTTATTTTCCTTCCCACTAAGTACCTTTCATTTGATGTGTATAGGGAGTGCTTGTTTGATGAAAGTTGCTCTGGGGCTAATTTCTACTTAAGGATTTTGACTCAAAAAGCTTTGTGGCATAGTTCATCTTCTGATTTTGGGTGGTTGAAGGATGCGGTAATCATTTATCTCTTTTTGTTTCAGTTTATGTGGTTATAGCATAAACATATATAATGTTAGTCTATGACAATATTGTTCCTCTTTTCGCAGCATATGTGTGCCATTATGCAAATGCTTAGGAAAAGATCAATGAGAGAATTTTCACTGTATAGAAGCGATCGGATCACATTCCTAGATGCATGGTTTGTTAACCAATGGCAACATGACTTCAAGAAGTTTGAATCAGAAAAAAACTACATGTTTCCTGAGATGTATTTCAGAGTGTTGAATGGACTACACCCCACATTTGGGCAGACTCTGAAGAAGTGGGTCGAGGAAGTAGATATTCTCTACTTTCCACACAACATTAACAATTGTCACTGGGTAGCTGTTGAGGTCAATCTGGTTAAGCGCCGTGTTAAAGTCTACGACAACATATGCAGCCTCTACACAGATGAAGAAGTATTTGACTCGTGCAAACCTTACACGAAAATGATCCCAGCACTGCTGAAGATAGTAGCGCCAGCTGAACAGAAAAAAGATTTATCTGGCAAAGCTTTCACCATTTACAGAGTTAAGAAAACGCCACAGAACTATCAACAAGGAGATTGTGGGGTCTATGCGGTGAAGTATATAGAATGTTTGGCTATAGGTCTAACTTTTGATGGCTTACCTGACGAAGCTCTACCAGCTCTTCGGTTGAAACTTGCAGCAGAGGTATTTCATGAGGTGCCTGATACAGATTGTTTCATTGAAATTTCTGATCCAAATCCACGAGGTTCAGAAACAGGTGGGGTAGAGTTTCTATCCCAGCCATGATGTACTATACCATGCTTTAACTAATGTTATTTTTTGTGCACGTTACAACGTTGCATGTTCTTACTAATTAAATTTTGGACATGCAGCGTTGTTATGAATACATTCGGATATGTATTAACTAATTAAGATTAGGTGTGTAATCCTTTTTGTATATGGATGATTGGTGTACTATATGAAATCATTTATCTGTCGTATTTTTCCCTTAATTAGACATACAGTGAGCTGCAAGATATATGGTCCATCATATGCAATAGATAAATCGAGAAAAACATAATATTACAATTACACTCTTAATTTGGTACATCAAATCACATCCACATAGTTCGAGCTGACATAAATAATATTACATATTAGACATTCAATACATTCATTAAGCATAAAATGAAACATTCATTTAGGTAGATATTGAGTTTTAATTTGATACAAGGAAAATGAAACTCATAAAGTATGTCATTAGGACACTTACTTAATATATTACAAAAGTAGGAGGTTTAGTAGATACTAACCTCAACACATACCACGCATGCGACTCGCATACGTATAGGCGAAACAATGCTCACAACAATATGGTGCTGTCGCATGCCTTAGACGACAAGGAGGAACGGATTTGAAATAGTAAAACCCCTTGAAAAGTTGAAACCCGGTGAGATGCATTTCCCTCACAAACGTTTCCACTTGCTCTGCTATCATCACGGCCCGGTGAAAGTTAGATATCTTGTCTACAAAATGTGCTAGGACTTCTTCTCCTTCTTCTACCCCACCACAACATATGAGGAAAAGGCCATATGCGTATCGAGCATAAATGCTATAACACGCAGCATCACCCAATAGATCTAACCTTTCTTGCGATGGCCCTAGTAGAGTTAGGAGGCGCACAGATTCGACAAATTGAGCTATGGGATTTTTACTGGCAAGACACCTCAACAAGAAGGGTCTGTAGATGGAGAAGACGCTAGCAATGTCACCATTGAATAGAAACTCATCCAAATCAACCTCACGCAACACCGCTTCTGAGAACACCATTTCTTTGAAAACAGGACCCGCTGCAACGAAAGGACCTAGGTATCGAAATCCTTGCTTCCCTACCTTCTGGATTATGTCTCTCAACAAAGGAATGGGGATGTAATTCATTCTCTGCAGTAGAGTTTTCGTTTTTCAAGATGAAGAAGAAGAAGATCGAGACTACACCTTTTTATAGTGAATGAATAAGGATACTAACCTAGTTTACTAATTGGTTGTTCTCATTTAATATTGTAGGTTGGTGGGGTGGTTACTTTTTGTAGATAAACGTTCACTCACATTATGAGGTTGGTGAGCTAGGTGAGCTTTGGCGAGGTAGAGTTAATTATTACTTCATTACTCTAATTTCTTTACTTCATTACTCTACTATCCTCACTTCATTCCTACTTCATAAATACCTATATTTGATATACACGTTTGCATACAACCATAAAGTACAGAATATATTATAAATATGAAAGTGGAAGGTACGTAGTACGAAAACATTACACTGAATTGATTACTAGCCATAATAAAAAGTACAAGAAGAATAACGAGTTTTTCACATTCAAGAGTTACAAGTCAATCGGTTGTGGCCAGTATGACCACAATTTGAACAAGCGTGAGCTTTCCGGGGTCTTTTTCTCTCCATTGCAACCTCCAAAGCTCCTTTAACTCTACTATCCTTAGGTCTGCCAGACTGAGTCCTCACAAATGGTGGATTACAAACTTTTGCAATTAGAGCATCTGGGACTGGACAATTTTCATCCTTAGGCATGATAGATTTAGCATAACCATTGTGTAGATACTCGGTCCGGTAGTAAGGATGACACTTTGAAACTCTAGACACATTCGCACTCTCAGCTGCGGCTAAAGCATGTATGCAAGGCAGTTTGTCAATGTCGAACATACGACAAGAACATTTCTTTTGTGACAGATTTACAACATTCATGGAGGATCCGCTCCTCACTTCGTACTGGTGTGGATCAATCTCTTGAACATTTAAAACACTTGCTCTTGCTAATCGGGCCTTCAAGAAAACATATAATATTACTAACTTATATTATAACAAAGATGATATTTACATAACAAAAAGCATACTTTACAATACCTCTAACAGCTTCTCAACTCCGTTGGTTAGAACTGTTTCCATATCAGCAGCCTGTCTTCTTCTTGCAGCAAACCACCGTGTCAACATCAATCTTATCTCATCTAATAGCTGCACAATCGGATACTTTCTTGCTGGCTTTAAAACATTGTTGATAGACTCTGCTATGTTGCTGGTGGTAAAGTTATATCTATCACCTGGAAAATGTGCACGGCTCCACTTACTTACATTAGCACGTTGCAAATAACTATGAATTTGTGGATGCAACTGTTCAATCAATTGAAACTTTGCATTAAAATCTTGCAACCTATAAGCAGTTGCTGCCTGCGTCACCAATCCAAATGTTTCATTCCCTCTAAATTTCAACAAAATATTTTTGTGTAGATGGTAAGTGCAGATCCCACGGCTAGCTAGCGGATATACTTTCCCTATTGCTTTCCCGATGGATTTATGTCTATCAGATATAATGGCAAGGCCTTCATCATCAGGAATAACACAACTGAGTTGTCTAAAAAACCATTCCCAAGAGTCATCGTTCTCGGTATCAACTACAGCGCATGCTAATGGAAAGATGTTATAATTTCCATCTTGTGTTGTCGCTATTAACAACGTTCCAAGGTATTTCCCTTTCAAAAATGTACCATCCACGACAATAACTTTCCTCATAAAAGGAAATCCATCTATGCTAGCACCAAATGCTACGAAAACTGACTTGAATCTATTATTGTCATCCACTTCTAACCTTGTTAGAGTTCCGGGATTAGCTCTTCGGATCATGTATAAATAAACCGGGAGATCTCTATAACCATCCTCATAGGTTCCCCTCACTAACTCACGGGCAGACTTAAGAGTTCGATATCTTTTCCAGTAATCAACCTATATATGTGAAAAGACCTTTAAGCTAACCTTCTTTGCAGTCAAAAATCGATTTTAATTATACAGAGTTATGAAAATTTAATATGTTCAACTAACCTTGATTCCATAACGTAGAGTTAGGGCC